TATATATATATATGTGTGTGAGTTGTATATTTGCTACAGAAACCAGCACCAAATCGTGGACAGGACGATAATCAATATTTGAAACGATCTACTGATATCAAGTTATCGAACTAATCATTAAGTATTCTATGATACATATTATGGTAGAAATTTCTGCGAAAAACTTATTCGGATCTGCGTTACTCTATAAGGCCCCCATTTGTGTATTGCGATACTAGTAATGGAAAAGAAAATTGTCTTTCATTATATATTTTTCTTTTTCCTAAATTAATATAAAAAAAATAAATAAAACCCTTGCCATAGCGTTGCAAGATTTGGCATTGCAACAAACTAATAAAGCAAAGGTTGTATGACCCTTCGTAGGTTTGTTGGAAACGACAAAGACTACCTATTTAAATTGAGCCCTACTATTCCGTTTCAAATATAACCACTCAAATCTAGTGATTTGAATCTGTATTTAGAGATTTTTTCCGCTACAGATAATAGATAATATCACTATAATATAATAATAGATAATAAAATTATAATCGACAACCTGGGTCGCATGGTTTTATTAGTTCTGTATCTATCGGAATTTATTAGCGGCATGCGTTCATTCGTATGGCGTTACTTCAGATTCGTTATCTGTCGTCAAGTTGTCACGTTATTTGATTTATATTATTGTCAAACATGGCTCGGTTGAAAATCTTTAGATAAAAGAGGAAAGGTAAGAAAATCTTTGCGCTTCTCCATATGTACTAAGAATATTGCTGATGTCTGACCTTTTCCGGAGTGTTTTTGGATTAAAATGTATTTCCCCGATTCGGGCTACGAAGATCCCACATGACCAAGAGGCTGTATATTACGAATAGATTCGACTTTTCGCTTCCCTAAATATTCTGAAAGCATTTAATAGACACCTCTCAAGATATTCAGACTTTTATGCAGAAACGTTTTTCTTTCATTTAGGCATCTAAGAGCAATTTGGTGTTTTACATGTTATTCGGGTGTAACTAGACCACTCGTATGTATAATACCTTCCATCAGTCACTTTTAATCTTTTAAATGTACTAAAAACGATACATTTTACATGTATACTCGTCAAACTGAACTAGAGAAAGACTAGAAGAACTACTAGGAAGAACTAAAGCTGGACCCCGTTCAGCTTTCGGGAAATAACATGAGTCGGGTAGTGGGTTTCTATCTGCGAAGTCCTCAGTTCTTCTATTTGTAGGAAATAAGGGTACAATGTTGTCGTTCACTGGATCTTGTGACAATCTTATTATTATTATTATTATGGAAGGACTAAATCCTATGATGTTTGGTGCTGTCACGTTTTTTGGGGCAATACTTTTGTACAGTCTGCATTCATTGTTTTGCAAAATTCAGGTCATTCAGGCCATTGGTTCATACGTAATCTTTGTCGATAGTTGCGCGTCAGAGTAATAGATACGTAAATAACTCGAATAATGACTAATATAGCTTAGTCTTGAACAATGCCCAATGGCAATACCCGATATGAGACTCCAACCATTTAATCGTACTCATTGATTTGATACACCTATACCTCGCCTTAGTACCGTTCTTGCGCTCCCCTAGCCTTGTCTTGCTTTTATAATATCAATCTTATCTACGGCACTTCTCTGCCACTCGTTTACCACATGGAACCATAAGGATCAAACAAAATGTGGCAGGATTAATAGCAACAAATCCATTGCGCGAATAAAATACACTCAAAACAACATATACGAAGTAAGCACCGCTGAAATAAAGATACTAATCTACAAAATGATGATTCTTTTAAGAAAAAAAAATTTATTTTCTCACAATCCTATTACTTCATATTTGACTTCATCTGAAGGCAACAATTCTTCGCGTATGCAGATTTGCGTATTTACAGATTGCACCTATGCATTACTACAACTTCTTTAAATATTATTGCACCTAACGTGTACATAGCACACTGCTGTTCAAAGATGCATGCGTCGACCCATTACAATCACTTGTAAGCCCAACAGAATAAAGGCATCTTTCTGTAGGCCCAACGTCTGATACCAACGCAAAATAAACTATTTTTCCCATATAGTATTAGGTACCTAATGCCTCCGTGCATGTACATTCATATCAATCTTTGGCTATTTTATCAAGCGATAAACTGGCGGACCACATCGCTCTACCTTTTTTTTTTTTCTCACAATATTGTGTCTATTACAATTTTCAAAAGAGGGAACCGTATAATTATTATTCATGATGGGACAACCAACGCCAAATTCAAGCAATGAATGTAAACACCAACAAGAATTGCTCAACACATCTGATAAATGTATTGATAGGGCTCAACCTGCATAGCTCCGATTTAATCGCTAATGGTTTTTTGCTTGCCGCCAGCGATAAAACGCCAACTTGAATATGATATTTCAAATGGAAATTGCAATGATATTTACGCTTCAACGGTGAAAAGCAATAAATTGATAGTATGAAATGTATGTAATGAATATTATCACAATTATGAATTATTAATTAAAATCTAATGCGATTATGTTGCCCCTATGTGTCGAACTCCTGCAACATCGCGTTTTATCAGCGGTTCTCGATAAAAACCCACCTTCGCATATGTGTCCTTCAAGGAAAATCCTTGCGGCAATATGTGCGATATTCTTCATTCCTGCCCGATCATCTACAAAGTCAATTTTAGTTATACAAGGGACTAACAAATTTCAACAAATTAAAACATCAAATGATTCCGTATAGTTGCTCTTAAATAAAGCGCATATCAATAGGAAGCTAGGTTGATTACCGAACCTAACTCAAAATTCTACTTTTGTTAGTTAAAGCCAAAAGCTACGCTATTCAACTTCGAATTTTAGGCACACATCAGACCTGCTCAGATGAGCACAATGAAATCGGCACAGTTTTAACAAATAAGTTCTAGCGTTTTTTCACGTGTATATATAACTTCCAATAAAGCTGAAATACTAATCTCAACGTACATGATTATCTTTATGCAGTGTAAGTGGCAGGCTTGGGGTCTTGCAATAGCTTCAGTGGTGTCATAGAAAAGTCCCCACGTAGAGAACTAATCGCTTATCATGTGTTTTACGATACTGCAAACGCAAACGGGGTATCTCATATTGCTTCTACACCATCCGGTAGGTTGGAACATAATATCAATTTGGCTGTAAGGTAGCTATTATGGCTTAGGTTCGCTCCGAAACCGTGTATGTTTCCTATTGAATTGATTCGCTGTTATCTTCATTTTATATTTATTTTTTAAGTTCGTTTTCCTTACAGAAAGCCCAACCACTTTTCTCCACAAAAGAGATCCACTCCGTTACGCAACCATTCCGCTATTTCAAAGAGACACTGAGATTAGCTTTAAATATTCTACGTAAATATTAGATCGTTCGAAAAACCAAGAATCTAAGCAATGAGAAAACGTAGATATTTTTAGAAATTCTCGGTAATTTCTTTTTCTTCTTCTTTGGTAAGGTCCTCGCGGGAAAGGTTACATGAATAAAACTTTTTTAAGTCCAATTATTACCTATTCTTTAGGCATTATTAGTTTTTGGGATGGTCGGCCCGTACAGACAAACTCTTATTTGATTAACAGAACCAGATGCAATTCTACCTATTCGTGAGGTTTATGCAAATGTCCTTCATTACGAAATAATTTGATTTTCTAGACCTTTGAAATGTGAAAAGCAAATTCTATATTAGTTCAAAGTTAGATAATAAACTCGGTAGGCACAATCTGGTCTATACTCGCCAGACTAACCTGGGGAGTGGAGTCCACACAGTTTTTTGTCAGCAGTTCGGTGAAGGTAGGCTTGCACCGGTGAGAAGGTCACCGGAAAGGCCACTATAACTACTAGTACCAACTTCTAAATGGCAAAGTAAACACTGGCAAAGTAAAGGTAAATAGAATCGCCTTGATTCGATTAGTGACTTTGCGTTTTTCTATGCTGTAAATAGTTCATCATGACTGGTGACAGTTCGCTATTCTCAACCCCGCTGCTTTGCGTATTGTGCTCAATCGTCCTTTTGCAACTGTAAACTTTGTAAAAACGTCTGACAGGAAACAGTCCCGTGTTTCTTTGTTTATCGAGTATAGTTTAAACAGTCACATCGTTACTTGCTGGGCTTAGCGCCGAATAGTGTCGTTTCAGCTACTTACACTAAGAATTGGCCCATGCTATTGAGTGACCTTACTTTGTTATGTCATTCTATGCTGTAAGGCTTGAAAAGTGTTCTATGCAGTAGGGCTCTAATCAATGTTCACAGTACACGTGCAGGCTAAATCTATCAATGCTGTTTGGTGGTCAATGCCTCCATATATAATCGGTCATGGCTCTCAGACCGCTGCTATCCCTATATAAGGTTTGGCGCTTTCAGTTCATTTAATCTAGGTTGATAAATTGTACTATGGTCAATAATATTGCTATTCTTTTCCTATACAAAAATATCCGACGTGTCATGATCGTCAGGGTTGTGTTGGACGCCAAGCAATCTCGACTCCTCTTCGCTGAAGCACTGGAGACAGAGATGTTTACTAACGGGACCTCTTCCAGGTGGAAGACGACTTTCAATTGCAGCTATTCGTTGCGGAGGCCAAACAATATGTGTAGCCTTTGCCACCATTAAACCTGTGAATTGGATAAAGCAAAAACAGCTTTGATAAAACATGATTAATATTACTAAGTTTTTTACATGTACTACGGTTTGTATAGACGGAAGGCGAGACCTTGACGTGTAAAACGAAAGTAAAGGTGAAGCCCAGGGCTATTGTATCAGTGCAAAATTTGCTTGATATATACTACGTTTATAACAGCTACCAACTAGCTTAACTGCACTACTATTACATGGATACTTTAATCGTCTGCAAGCTCAATTTAAACACCTAGCTTTAACTGTTTACTCGTTGTACATTGCCACTTCGAACATTCATATATACATATACCTAGTCCCAAATTAAAAATTGAACGACTGTGGGCACGTCCTGGCTAAACGGACAACGCAATTACTGTACATTGATCACAAACAAAGGCTATAGCAGTTAAATGTAAGAAACACACGTACCCATAGCAACAGGCCCGAAAGTGTTTGAGTCCAGCGAGGTTTTGTGGTTGTCACCCTCAACCCAACAATGGCCTGGTGGAATGCGTACCACATTCGTGCCCTTTAAAATGAAATATCAATTTATAAGAAAGCTAACTAAATACACACCTTATAGCACTAATTCGGTGTACCACTTAAACATAGATAGCATAGCTCTGTTAGCATCCAATACATGAGCTTCAGAAACCTTTTTTGCAAGCAGACACAATTCCAGGAGAAATAACACATGATGATGAATATAGTAAACGTTGATATATGATTTCCTAGGATCCACCATTTAATTCCAAATGGACTTTGTCACTGTTGAAGTAGCACTTGAAAAACTCGTATTATTCCTCTTACTTACTTCTCAGAACATTTAATTTTGGAATAGAGTAGAATAAATTTCCAAAAAAAAAGGCGTTGGAATAATATCACCTCTTTGTAATCATGTAACAATCCTCCCTATTCTTAAATTCATTGAGTATTCAAACCTGTGGTGTACCCAAATAAATGGATTCAAATTGGAATGGGCATTTCGCAATGAAGAATAAGCTTCCCCTGCAAAACCTTCATTGACATAATTTGAAAATTCAAATTTAAAGCGATTATCTTGTTAAATGCTCCAGACTTAGAATCGGTTCTCAGCGGAGTGTCGTAGAGTGCAGTTCTATGTATACCAATAAGTATGGCACCATGCTGCAGTTCTCTTTATATTGAAGTTTCTGGAAAAATCCTTTATGCTGAAGCTTTCAACAACCTTATTAGAATGTTGTAATGAAACGACTTCAAATTTTTTACCTATAGTAGCAAATATTTTATTTCTCGGACGAATAATACACTTCTAAAAACTGTGCAATAGACAACGGGTATTATGTGTCAAATGCTTTTTCTAAAAGGCTCCGACCAGTTTGTCTAATCCAAGTTAATTTTCAACCACGGTAATATCGTATAAGAAAAATTCGTGTATTGTTAGAATGTTTTGTGCTTTATATAGTTCTTTATATTTACTTTGCTCTTTTTTTATACAGACATTCCAACTGAGGGAAGTCTGGATACTCAGAAACTTCACTTTTCTTATTCAAACAAGCGCTTAAGGTGCTAACAGAAGTTATACCAGTCCATATTCTGAATAATAAAAATAAAAACCATTGTTAAAGTTGCTGAGTATATAGTTTATATACTCAAAGACGAACCTTGTTACTGCAATGACTTAGCCCTCGCTGCAATTATCCGGAAGTTTCCTTCTCACATCTGCCACTCCGGCAGATTTTTATTGAGCACTAAATTTATCGTTAAATATTTTATATTACCGTTATTTAAAGCGCCTTTATCAACAGATAGGACTCTCGGCCGCAGCTAACATCGACGGCGCTAGGCGTAGGTGAGCACGCAGGCAATACGCTAAAGATGCATACTTTTTTAGCATACAGTGTAATTATTACTGCGAGTTTTGTGCTGCATAGCACAAGAGGGTTTCTACTCAACGTCATCACAGGAGAAACTAGGCACTGATCGCCCCTAAAGAAAATACTCCGTTGCGCCAAGCGTAATCTAAAATACTTATGTAGTATATGAGTTTATAAGTATCCTGATACATAAGGAGTTGAATGATTCCTATACGGTACCTTACGAGGCAGAACAGCGTCACCCTGCAGAGCGATCACTCTCTTAATTAACCTCTCGGATGGATCCTTTGGTGATATAAATGCGATTACGTCACCTCGTTTGATCTAGATTTGAGTCGCAGAAGGGGTACGTGATGGAAATCATTATTAGTTCAGAAGAAAGAACAGCACGTTTGTACACAAACAAAGGACTACCTCATACAGACCTGTTTGTAATCAAAGGTGACTGTTCGGTTAAGTAACACAACATCGAGCCATCCGCTTGGTTCGGGGTTGAAGAGGGGCTGCATTGAGCGACCTACAATCTGGAAATAAATTTGTGCAATAACTAAAAGGTTATGACAGTACTACTCATATAAGTCCTAGAAGCATTTTAATCCATCTTGGCGCTTTAGAGATTGGCACTCCTTCGTTGCAAAAGTAGTAAACTGGGTCTTTGATTTCCCATGTCGAGGGCAGAGGATGCTAGGCTTAAATCAGGACTCTCTGCTTTGAGCGACTTAGATGCATTTATCTAAAATAGTACTTATTTTAGAATTCATTTAGCAATACTTACTGAAAAAACTCGTTCCAAAGCGCATCAAAAACAAACATTGCATTGTGGTTTACAAAAAATCTGAGAGAGACTTTCATGAAGCAAACCGGTAGGTTCTTAGTAGAGTTTAGATTTGAAAAATTAAAAAAAATTATTTCTTTTTTAGATTTTAAAAGCAATTTGTGATAATCCCAGATTTTTAAAAGTTAGCGACGATTTTTGAAAAAAATGGTATTTTTACTGTCAAAAATAAGACTTTCAGCACACGCAATAAAATTGCGTTGAAATACCTGTCTTTAATTAGGTGCAACTTAAAGGACAATTCTTAAGTGAAAAAAAACCCCTAGCATTTCGTACGTTGGTATTAAAATTAACGATCAGTTTTTCTTATGCAAAAAAAACTATAATATTCTGCAAGATTTTTTCTATGGCGTGGTCAAATTATCATAAGAAATTGAACTATGGATGTCTACTCATAAATGCGGTGTACACGCGGTGTGCGGCTACGTTAGAGATATGAGAACAAAAGACATACTCAAATACTAACATATATCTAACTCACGAAACTGACATCCAAATATAACCATTTTGCCAGGCAAGTATTAGGCTGCTAACCGATGAGCTTTGAAATGGAATAACTCTTAAACTACATGCCACTAACAGACGAAATATGGGTTGAAAAATACTCAAATTCTCGAGAAACTTGCGAGTGAAAATAGCTGAACCTAAATGAGCTCACAAAAAATTAGTTCAGACAGAAACACATTGACATCGTGTTGTGGAAATTCACTGAAGATTGGAGAAGACATTTGACAAAGAAGCTTTAAGCAGTACAAAGTGGTGCAAAAGTTTTGAGAAGGGAAAGTGGTGTGTGGGAGACCAGGAGGTCACCAGTTACCGGAATCCGAAGGACAAGAACACATTACTGAAATCGAGGAGGCCTTCGACGAAAGCAAAGCTTGATGTCTAAGGGTTCCATCGGAAAAGTTGGTGTTTCACGTGTTGCAGATTTATGATTCAAATGCTGAAAATGAGGAAACTGATTAAAAATGAATTGTTTGTGAATTGAGTTTATGTCAAATAGAAATGCGTGTGATGTATTCCGCACTTTGCAGAACTTTAATTTTAAAAAACTTGCCTGGAGCATAGAAACGCTATAGACGAAACATGGTTCAATCTCAACTGCCAGCTAGAAAAGGACCAGACGAAAGAATGGCGTCACGCCGAAGAGAGATCGACTTAAGTGTCAAGTAGGTTTAGTAATGATAGAACTTGCAAAGGACCTCAAGGCCATCTGATACCGTAAGATACACACCGAAAGTGAAACCATATACGCAATTTGCAATGTTGAGTTTCTCAAGAGGCATAGGGACCGTTGGCACACCACTTGAAAGCATGCAGTCCAGTTAGTTGATAACACCTCCAGACCACATCGTTACACGTCCATTACTTCCCGGATTGAGCAAAGGATTATCTAATACTGGTTTCAGTTTGCTTATTCCCCTGACCCAAGTCCATGTGATTACGGGGTTCCCTATGCCTTAAAGGGCAGTTGGTGGGCAAACATAGCCCACTATTGATTTCATTTTAGAAGTCAAAGAGAAATCATGTATGAAATGCAAATGACCGGTATACGGCCGTCCAGAAGCTCCTACAGCGCTGGGGCAAACAAAAAATTAAAGAGTATACCTCTAACACGTAGTAAAAAATTATCATTCCAGCCCAACTAATTTGAACTTATTCGATTTCGACCTCTGCCAGATTTGCTTGAGCTAGTCCAATAGAAAAGACTTCTCACAGTGAAAAAACAATTATCTTTACCCGTACAGACTACAAGACAAAGTCATTTAATGTGATTTGCCGAAATTGCTAAACTAAGTCTTCTGAGGCGTTAGTCTTAGTGGCATGAAGCTCACAGACACGTAAATTCAAACACTACCAGAAGCACAAATTAGTAACGACTACGTAAAGTGGAGAAGAAGCAGAACTGTTGCGGCCGCACTAATATGAGACTTGAATAATGTCGAGTAAAACTAATTCCAGATTGCTTTAATAAAATACGAATAATAACAGTACTAATAAACAAGAATATAAGTAATGTTTACTAACGTCAATGAGCGCATTGAAGTAACATTCCTAGTAATGTTAATTATGTACCTGCTTATGAGGATTGCCCGAGAAACTTGGGCCCGATTCGGATAGTAACGACATATCAATCGAGATTTTCAGTATTATGACTGGGAAGAGTAAACAAACTGTGCAATCGCTCCTAATAAGGTACACCGACTATGTAAAAGGCTTAAGCGTGAAATGTGCGTATCTCGTTATTTACAGAAAACCGCTAGATAGCAAAAAAAAACAATAAACACACGGTGGACCATAGGCTTACGTACTCGAAATCGATTTAACTGCGCAGATGGTAATGTAGGAAAATAACAAATACTTTACCCGCAACACTAACCAAGGATGCTAGAGCTTTTACACAACGTTCACGGCAAACCCAAATTTATTGGAAATCTCCCGGCATTTTTGCCTGTATTTTGTTTCGTGCGTGTCTGGTACTGCATTTTACAGATTAATCTATTGCTACACCATTAAAATTCACAGTGCTATCTCCTTTTATGCTTAGTAAATGCAGCACCTTTTTACGATTACATAATGGACACATTTTATATAGTTCTATACGAAGCCAGGTGCTATACAATAGCCAGCAAAGAAGCACCGCTACTTTTGTCAGTGAACTAACTTTTAACTGAAACTACATAGAAAAACCCCGCTGAAAACCCTAAAAACATGTTTACATATGTGGAGACGTCTCTAGCTTCTTCTAAAGTACCTTCAGTCCCTCCTGAGCTCTATCAGCATGTAAAAATCCTGAAGTGTGTTAGTGTTCTATTGGGCTATACGTCCGCCTTGGGTCAACATCATCATGGCTCGTTTCGGAAACGCACTCACAATATCAATACTCAGGACACGTATGGGGATACGGTTCCACATGACGCTATCGGCAAGGTGAGCAGGCCAAGTCGAACATAGCAAATAGCTCGTAAAATGGAGTTATATATATACTCAGCGTCAAACTGCTACATGAACGCGTGTTGCATGCATTTATTTTCACTTATTTCCTATCAGTGGTGATATGCAATTGCAGGAAAACGAAGATGTCACCGATTTATTGATGAACATCGCCGGTGTCGATTTCAGCTTTCGGAATAGAATGGGGTTCGACGTTCTACATCACACATCACTAAAAGGCAGTGCTTTCGCTGTTGAGAAGCTCTTGGCATGTACACGTCAAGTTATTGACATCAAGAAAGATGACGGTTTCGCCGCTTTACATTTAGCTGCGCTAATTGGACATGTAGCAACTGTCGAACTATTCCTTGGCGTGGACCCATGCGACCCCGACATACGAAATAACCGGTACTTGTAATAGAATCGCATGAATGACTATTTGTTTTAGGAGAAATTAGTAAAAAATCAGAGAATGATAATATGTAGCAGCTAATTGGTAGACTTTTCTTAATGTTTTCCTTTCATGCCCCTACTAGTCTACAAACGTCATTATTGCTGGCTGTTGCACAAGGACACGAGGGGCCTCAGTAAATGCTCAGGATGAAGACGGGGACACCCCTCTATATGTGGTGCCTATAAAGAGGCCGGCGTTTATGGGTAAGGCAGTTGCCAGTCTTCGAGATGCACCGGCGATGGCTCATATATAGCTCATATTCGTACTATAGCAACATCCGTGTGCTTACCACCTTTCACACTTTCAAGATCCACCGAATGGCACAAGGAGTCAGACGAATATAGTAAGAAAAACTCTAGAATCTCAAACGACCGTGGAGGACGAAGGCCTTGTAATAGGATGCTACTTAGCAAGGGAAAATTCTGACCCCACAAAACCCCGCTTTCGCTGGCTGATAACTGTTACGGTTCTAGTCACTGTTGTCCCTGGTGTCCACCCCAGTATTCAATTTTAAGCGACAGGTAGGAGTTCGTGACATCCCTATGATACTCGTGTCTGGTTGTTAGATGCGGTCAGAAAGTTAATTTGTGTTTACTGAATCTTAAGAATATATAATAGAATAAATTTTCTAACCGGTTAGCAGCGCTACATATACGTAGAGATAAGGTAATTCAATTTATGTACACAAGCGATTGTCATGCAATAAAAAATAATAATAGATTCAAACTATTAGATATTACTTTCAACTCATTTATACTGTTATTTTGTACTTTGTATTTATACTCTATACTAGATCCATCGTTTTGTCAAAACAAAGAAAGAAAACGAAACTTACGGTAGCTGGTCTTTGTTTAGAGCTATGAAATAATAATAGCAGACCCACTGTATTATTCGCTATAATGGTTTCAATAACATTTACTAACTTTACTTATATCAAATAGTGGATTTAATTTGGCTACATAATAGGTAACAATATAATAATTTCCTAGAAAAGTTGCGTGTTTTAGGTCGTTCAAATTGGAGGCTTATGGTTAAGTAGTGCGAATTGGCAGACCTCAGCAGTGAAGAAACTAGCTTAAAATATGATATCGTAGAAACCACTAAATACATTACGACACTGTAATAGACCCAATATATGCTTATATACTTAGCATATGCCCTAATAATTGAATTGTACACCGTACATCGTATACTCTTGATCAACGATAATGTATTTTATGAAATATTTTTAAGAGTATTGTCATATTAGTAGAGAGTCCTATTAAGAACTACTGTCCTAATAATTAAACACAACTAGCAACTTAGAAAACAGACGTGCAATTAACGACAACTTATTAACATTCATCTTAAACGACCGCCCTCCGCAACGCCCCTATGCGAATGACAAGATAAATCTGTCGGTTCTAAGAAACCGCTACGTCAGCGACATGCATAATTAATTAGCTAATTGCAATGTTATCGTCATTTACATGAGTTGTAAATAACACCCCTAAACCTGATACGAGCTTTAGAATTGACGGATGCTACTTTACCGGCCTTACAAAATGGCTTTGCTTTATACAGTTGTGTGGCCAACCATAAACAACGTGATATATTTAACTTACTTGAGCCAGATCTGCGACACAGTCTATAAAGACTGCCCCGACGGGTATTGCAAACGACGCAAATCGTACGATGCGCCCTGATGAAATCCACCCCATTCTTTAAAAACTGATTTTTTATTCGAAGGATAGATGCAGCTCGCTGGACAATGTCCACTACCCCTCCCAAGCAAAAGACCCTCGCCACCTGCGACAATGAGATAAAACGGAGTACTGTTTATAAGTTTCCGTTTACCAAAATACATACATAACAACAAAACAATATATACATAACGAACACGATGGATATTGGAAACGGCTAAATCATGAGTCGAGTTGACAACACGGTACCTGTATTAACGTCACCTACGTGTAGCGTTTGAAGATTTTGAATTTGGATCTTTAAATAGCTTTGACCCTAATGAAATGGGAAAGAGCATAATTTGTTCTGTACTGTGCGATAATATTCTTGGCAGCTGAGAAAAACTAGCATATAAAATACATTTAAAATGAAATTCAGGAACTACATTGGCGATTCAGCTAGCTCAGGGTAGTTCTCTCACATACAAACATCATTTTACAACTCATCTTACTAATAATGTCAATGTCCGTTCACATAACAGCGCACTAGTACGATCGTTACTGTCTCCACATGAGCGATGAATAAACGATACAAAACTCACAAACGCGAGAGGCAGTGACTACGGCTATTCTCGGTAATGCTATAACCTTTGCATAGAACCTTATGATATAAATATCAGCAGGTTACATTTAGAAGAAGACGACGCCCTCTAGTGATAGTTGTTATTATTATGCGCACATTTATAGATGAACGATAAAGGATGAAAAGAACTTTCCTATGGAAGTTCTCTCACTTGTAGTGTGTTACTCCTTTGAGTGTGTTACTACATAACAATAGTAATAATAGGAATGACTAACTGCAGACAGACTCTGCAGATCTCAGTCATGCCGCGTCTCGTTTAAAGAGAACGATTTCAATGGAACTACTATGAACATACTGCACCAATGGTTAAATTTGAAGGATAAGAATTAGCTTCACATAGAATGTAGGTGATTCAAATTGGTACGAGTAAAAGAAACTGTGAGAAATTGAAACTTCGATGTTTTCTTCAATACGAGTTGTATAAATGGCTATCATATGGAAGAAATCCCATATGTAATTTTTTTTTTCTTTAACGTTTAACTCACTCGGACTAACTCGTAGTAGAAAGTACTGGAACGTTGAATAAAATCACTATGCATCTATAATGTTCTTTCTCTTCTCTATGCTGTGAATGAACGAATTCAATTTTTAGCATAACATTAGAAACATCCATGTGGGCGACTCATTTCGGGGAGAGGGTAATCTGGCTTTTCATAAAGAGACTAGGCTCAAAATACTAAAGTTTGATGAAATTCAACAATTAAATAAGCTTCTTTCGTCCGAACGGTTAAGCCTTTGGCTTTAAAAGGATAAAGAAAAAACGAAATTCGAATCTAGGTTGGGGCGACTTAAACTTATAAAATGGTAGTTACGCTGCATTGACCATAAACGGCACGAAGAATTTCTTCATTTTGTAATACTATATTGTAATTACTAAAAATAAGTAAAAATTAGAGTTCATCATTTTATTTAAGAGCCACTTCAAACAGACTTTTCTATCCGTATAGAATTAGCTGTTTCCCTAAAAATACTTGCCCCTAACGCATAAATATCACTATATCAAAGTGGGTTGTTTAACTATAGGCAACGAAATCAATTCAAGAAAGCTCACAAGCAAATCTAAAGCTATTTGAGGGGAAATATGCTGCCCTTAAAGTGTCTCATTTCCTTGTTTATCTAAATGCCACCGCTACTTAATGGTACGATGGGCAATGGGCTAGCGTAGCTTCAAATACGCAACAATTACTAAAGCTTGTAGGAATATATTTCGCATGCAAACGTCTGGCGTTACGTTTCATAGCAACACGTACTTTCTTTAGCAAATTGTTACATATCTACAGTTAAATCAAGAAAATTAGCACTAATTTGAGTGTATCTCGTTTGATTTTTTGCAAAATCTTCGTTTTATTGATCTTCGAAACAGTACACACAGTACATGTATAACCGTGCTTCACCGTGTATGAAACGAATATGTTTGTGACCCTATAATTTTTACAGGTAAGCTTAACTCGTTACTGTATTTCATTATCATTGTCGCGCATGTTATAAGGCATCATTCACTTAGTATGGGCCCACAGCCAAGATTTTTAGCTATTCCTTCTGCGACAGGCCTCGATATCGTTGCTTAGCGCTATCTCTTCACTAAACACTTCCGGCCCTAATGATAACCTAGTTTTACGGTGAACTGGTATTTAGCACGAAAATAGCAATTACTAGGCATGTGTACACTCGCTACTCCGTTTTCTTTCTGTCGACGTGTCTTGTGTAGATTTGGCTCGCAAAATATCGGAATGAAAAGCTAGAAATCGTATTGGACCCTATTTTTTTTACGGAAATTTAATAATAATAATAATAATTTTTTGACAAATATACAAGTATAAAGTGGCACTAATCACAAATAGTAGACACAAAAGTGAACTGTATTGGCTGCAAGAACAGAATAAAACAAATATATCGTATACTGTTTTAATTAAAAACAAGGTGAAACTGGCAACCTCCATACTTACGTACATTATCATAGAACTCAAGTCGTTCTTATTATGAGGCTAAGCTGTACTGTCGCCTCTTCAAATGAGAAAAAGCTGTCTGGGCCGTTCGCAATGCAAAAGCTGTCTATAGGCTTGGCTCAAAGGTATCTGTTTTAAAATTGAGGTCGATAAAAAATACTCGGCACGTGGCCCCAAAATTTCCGAAAAAAAACACGAATTGAATCGGCGGATTTCCCTTGGAAAACCGGGCTCGAAGAAGTTTTAAAAATTGTAGAACAGAACTCCGAATGTTCTTATTGTTGTTTTTCTTGCCGTTGTCACACTGTTTAGCACTAAGTTATTAGTCACTACTACTTATAATATAAGTAGCATAGCTGTTGTTTAGAAGCGGGGGTTAACGGCAGACCAAAAGCGCTACTGCAAAGAAACTCTACCGAAGGTCTTTAGTAGTCTAAAAACGCTATGTTTAACCTAATAGTGTTTACTATATGCGGATTGCAGATATCTTAGACCAGCTTGATTACAGTAACTTGAACAGATAGTGGAGAAATATTAGTCACATTAGTTGCATATTTCACAGCATTTAATAAATCCCCATATTTAAGAAGGACATTCTGTTAAACATCACGATAAAAAAAGCCGTTGTAAAATGTATGTTCACGCGGAAAAAAAATTAACAATCCCATAGAGAAGCTGCAGCGTGAGACTTTTTAATAAAGTGCATAAATGTATTCTTTTATGCGAACCAATATGGCTGTATATGTCGGTCACCATTTGTATCCTTCGTGGAATCATATGCTTGAGAAGGAATTTATTGACCTTTGTACGTTATTAATCATGTTTTACTAGCCTTTTATAGCCCGATTAGGTTCTTAATCAACCCGATTAACATTACAATAAACGGCTCGTGCAAATTTAACTTTAGAAACAAGCAGTGCCATAGTTACAGGGCGATGCAGCCATTTAAAACGGAAGTATGCTCCAACACATTTGGACTAGATTCAAGAATAATCTTGCTTCACTGCAGGCAAAACAAGCTTTACACCTAAAAAATCACGATCTGTCCGCACCTCTGATTGACGGAAAGTGGTGCGCAGATTCAAATTCAAATTTGCCGCCACGGGACGCGTTCGATGCGGCTTCATCGACCAGCCACTATGAGACAAGATGGCCTCCGGTAGAGTGGTCTCATCGCAGTGTGATTCCTTGTCGACGGCATCGCGGTCAACTGTTGCTTCTACATTGCGTCACGTATGTTTTGTACATCTGTTTTGTGCTTAACTTAAATTGTTAATCGTGAAAAAAGAGGTTAACCCACCAGTAGTCGCAGTATTCGGTGGGCTGTTGTGTGTCCCGCTTTAACCATCCCCATTTCGCGTGAGTGCCAGCGGGGAGAAGGGGAAACAGCCAGTCTTTTCGTGGTCGACTCCCCTGTAGCAAACAATCTATGGGCCTACATCGTGCCCTCCTCCCCGGCGCCAGCTTCGGAGTCGCCGAGTAGAGCACGAGTTCGTGTCCCCGCAGGGGGACAGGTACTTACCAAATAATCAAGCAAGCTAGCGAGAAGTTTGCCGAACTCTGCGTATTAGCAGCAACGGCCTGAGCGGTGGTACAAATAGCCGCAGTCGTTGTTGTCGTCTCTCAGAGTACAGCGTCGCTTCTGTATTCAGCCTTCTTGTCTGTCTACGGTTTTGTCGGGTTGTGCCAGCTATGCTACTGCTTAAAACCGTTCTTCGGCTACCGCTTAAAACCACCGCTGTTTCACTTTTAAGTGAATATAGGAAATTGTAGCAAGGTTAGAAAGAAATGCATCGGAGATTAAAATCGACAAGAGGCGGTATTGGGTTTAATGTTGGTAGTACAGCGATACTGATCATTTAGATTAGTGTTGTAATCTTATTCTGGTAGGGTGTCCCCATCTTAAACGCCCGAAGGAAGCTTATGGCATGACACATGTTTGTTTGGTATGGTAAGTGGCACTTGCTATTTACTGGCAATCAGAAGCACCAAATATTGGCGGTGCTTCTGATTCAACTGACTCGTCTGCTTTTTGCAGTCAGTAACTGACAGGCGGATAAGACCTTTGGAAGCGTGTTTTCCTATTATAGCCTGTATCATTCGTTTCATGAACCGCCGTGTTAACATTATGCGTCGCAAACGCTTGCTTTCGCCGACTATGCATAATGAACCCGGTTGTCCTGCGATCCCAAGAGACTGAAATAATGAATTCAACGTTCAACTTGAATTCTTGGTATGGCAAAGGTACGTACTGAGCCGTACGGCTGACTCGACAAGAGTAGGGGTCATTATGCTGACCCCGGTATTAAGCGTTCAGTTATTATATATACATCAGGGGTATTTCCTGTAGTAAACATTAAACATTTACGAGACAAAGTTGCGTTCATTTTTGCCCCTTGTTCCCGGTGGGGTGTCCTTCGCTTAAGGATATGTCAGCAAAATCTTTTTCAACTTGCATATCAGAGCGAAGCAAGTTTGAGAACAGTACACCTCATAATGAAATGCCGTGTGAGTTCGGGCAGTACGTGCTTTGCTATCATGTCCGTTATTTTCCTATAATTGTTTGGACTTCGCTTACGCTTATTATGCTTACATGAGATTTTGTCATGTCCGTGTTGCACCCATTAGTTTATAGCCGTGTTTAAACATGTTTTTGCTCGCTTATTGTTCATTGTTAAAAAATATTTATTAAAAGCTAGCAGCCGGTCTGTCAGTAACTGCGCACGCTGAACTCTGTCTTTGCCAGAGTTCTTAACAAATTGAAACCTAAGTGGTGTCTTTATTATCGTCTTCGTCCTCGTCCTTGGTAGGTTCGGTTAAATTTTGCCGGTCGCGTTGTACGTTGCCGGAAAACGGCGGTGCTCGCTTACTCGTTGTGTCTGCCATCCGATGGAGGGTCAGTCAGTCAGTATTTGTATCATCAGTTAGTTAGTCTTTTTCGAGCCACATAAGGCAGTGATAATCTCTGATCTATGTAATTGAAATTATTTCGTAGTAGTAATCAGCGATGCTGGCCTATGTAAATAGTTAGGCTGTCGTGGCTCGCCGCCGTGGCATCAAGCCGAATTTGCTTTAGCTACCACTGTGTTGTTGATTGCGTTGGTGGTGACGAAGTAGTTCGCTCGTACTACTCAAACGTGTCATCATAAGCCGGTGTGTGGTATTAGATGATCGCTGTGTTAAGCCGCAATTATTGTGGCCGGCCTACTTTTTCGCGGCAAATACGGCAGCCGGGTGCGTACCGACGGCTAGTCCGGGCGCGGGGCAACTCACAGGCAATCAACGGCGTAAGCGCCATAACGGTTCAGTTGAAACGCCACAACCATGACAGCTGCAGTAGCAGCACCAGTAGCGGGAACAGAATAAACCGACAGCAGTAGCAGCAATCTCTCCGACAGCGGAGCGTCGTAGCAGCTTTCAGCCATCGGGCGAACGACAACGACTGCTGCTGCTGCTGCAGGCTGGCAACCATTTAGCTGTCGCGATTGGCCGGAACTGGTGCAAGATGCAAGTAGAGTGAAAACGGACGAAAAAAGGCTTCGTTCAACCCCTCCCCACTTAGTCCTTTACTTACCCTAACAGCAATCCACACCAGTCAGTCTTCTATTGCTGGTCCAAATAGCAGAGTTCGACATTTATTGGCGTGGGGTGAGGTGGAGTGAGCTCATTGGTGGCCTGGAGCATAATCAAAGGTTAAGGATGCGAGCGCTGTAGACAGAGTCGAAGCAGAACGCGTGTAATTTACTCCAATATGTCCTTGCGTCCACCAATTTGCGTGGTATCTCGAGTTTACTTTTCATTTAACTGCCAACCGCTTTGAAGGGAAAGAAGCCAATTGACTTCTCGTTGACAACAACAACAAAAACAAGCATACTTATTGAAGAATAAGGCAATTAGTTCCACCAGCAGCCTTAATAAATGCTTCGGGTTTTGCACTGGGAGCCTATTTACGTAGGTTTTTACTGATTCTAATTGACTTGAAATCGTTGTTTATACCTATAGTGCTGCATAAATGATACTATGTTAGATTATGCATGCCTTATTGCGATGTTCTGACTTGAGTCTTATATGGAGCATGTAACTCCAAACAAACGGATGTTCAAGGCCGAAAATATTAGTGGATTCCATTAAAGGCAACCTGGTCAAACATCTATTACTTATTTTACAACGTTATGGGAAAGCAGTAGGACACAGATATAAACGCTATGTTGAATTACGGCTAAATAAAGCTAAGCTTTACTAGTGTTTCCGTTAATTGGAAGTATTTGGATGTAGTATTTAGACTCTAGCTAAAGCATGTAGTATGCAGCTACCAAGATTTAAAAAATAAGTGTTATTTAAGAGTAACATATGGTTATTTCTAGCATATAATTCTAGTTCAGTACTAACGCTTTTGTTGTACTTTATTCCTGCTTCAATCTTTTATGCGGTTGTACTCGATTGACACCTAATTTTACTATGACAGTGACTACTCGGTCAGATAAGCTTGTGGATGAGTCAAAAGGTAGAAAAGCCTTCGCTGTCAGGGCAACGCATCAAGACTCGCAAAAGGGGTAAGTACAAATAACGGGTAAGTAAGGCCAATTGGCTCGGCTGTTATATCATCACTACTCATACGTTTGAATATCGTTATGTGATATATTTACTATAGTAGTTTAAGCCTCAGATTTGTATATTTAGTTACAATGATGTTCAAGGGTATTTTAATTGGGATTTGCAGATGAGAAGGAGAAGTACGATCCCATCGGCTTTCGTGACGCGATCCTGACAGGATTGGAGGCGAACGGATGCTCCGCCTCCGACCTTGAAGGGGTACACAAGGTAGAAGAATTTCTAAGTTAAAATTAATTTCGGAATAGTATAATTTTTGTAGAATAGTATAGCAGTTTGTTCCGTTGCACATAAATCATTGTGGTGTTCACCTCATTGCGCTGTCAAATTTCTGTAAAGGTGCAGCATTTGACCTGTATAACCAAAGCTAAGCCAGTGCTATATTTCTTCGTTCATACTGTTTTGTTCTTAATCCTAGTACCTGGACTCTGCCGGAAATAAGCTCGACTATCGTCGCTACGCTGAGGTCCTCTTTGATCTCATTATCGCCGGAGGTTTGTAACTTTTGCCATCATCATATATATAGTACTGATGATGTTTCATTTCATAACCTATAGGTTATGAAATACAACGATTCTTCTATAATAGCTCTTCTATAAGCGCTTCTATAATGAAAGCCAGCTGTTTCAGCGGCGTTTGCGTTTGACTTATCGTTTTTACACTTGCAACACAGGCATTCTTGCACCGGGCGGGAGCATCGTAAAAGATGTGCGCGCCGACGGTCAGCCGGGCACGACGGAGATCTGCGTATTTTGCGCCAAGGATGCCGCCCAGGTTAAGGTATAAAGAATATACATTTCGTAGAATGCAGGTAGCCTACGCGACACTAGAAAAACAATGTTATTAGAATATTTTTCAGGATCATTTTTGGTACGCGGTATACAGTACGAAAGGTCACAGATAGTTATATGGGATGTCCTTAGTCGTGTGGCAAATATCATATTCCGAAGAAGCACCTGTGCAGAGCTACTAAAATATATAGGTTGTGATACAACAGTAAATGTGTTGGTATCTATCTAATTGTAGGGCTACGCAAACCTCCTCGTCAAGCTGATCCGGCGCTATAAGTACCTGGAGCGATCGCTCGAAGAATCATTTGGAAAGGTGCGTAATAAGGTGACTTCTAATATAAGATTGGTTCGTAGTGGTCTATGTAAAGAAATGGAGACAAAACTCTGTTTTTGAATTTGGCTTGAACAATATATATTGGAACCTTTTTCCTGTTTTTTTTTTAATCAAATACTATAACATCCATTTGATGTTTAGCCATAGAATCGAAAACGGGAAAGAATTATGTAACGTTGTGTCCATATTTCAATATTTCAGGTGATGATGTTCATGCGTGGCTTCGATGCAGATCAACGTGAAAAGTTGGCGGCTGTGACCGCTTTTCTTCTTACCGTTGGCCTTATCCCGACTTCGGTACTTTCCAAACTGCTTCAGGATCATCTCATCAAAGATGGATGCGCACTCAATTTCCTCTTGAGCTGCCTAAAACGTTGGAGCGAAGAGAAGGATGCGGCCACCATTTGGAGTGCCCTGAGGCGTTACCAGGTAAGGCGGCACTGCGAGTGGGTTCCGTTTCTGAAACGGAAAGCGAAATGGGATCTGCGTATGCACAAAATTAAAGCTATTATCCTACTGCACGCAGTGTACTTGCCTCTAGATTGAATTAAGCTAAATGAAAGCTTGATATTTTGGTCTTTCCAGGATTTTTTTCTCTATACTGAGACTTGACCAACGAGAACTTGAGTTTTAGCAAATATATTACATGTAAGGTTCAGTTTGTAATATAGCCAAAAAGATTTTCTTGACTTTTAACGATTTTGTTGTAAGCGGAAATTTTGTCCTGCAACTTAGCTAAAAAAGCTTGTTTGAGTGTTAACAACTTTTTTATATGAGGGCACTTTGTCCTGAGAACTTTTGTTAGTGTGTTATTGTCATACGATTAACCTTCTTGTTCATTTTTTCCGTGCTACTTTGGTTCTTCAAGCTGGAGCAGCGTTTGATGGAGTTCATGCCTGTTGCCAAGCGTACGGAGCCCAACCTTACTCAGGTATGTAACTCCGTTACACACCCAGTAATAAAGTCTATAGAATAAACGTTGGCTACCTGCTACCACTAGGTTTAAGAATAACAATATTACCCCACAAAGAACGTAAACTATTATTCTCATATTCTAGGCATTGTCGGACGAAGGTCTTTCGGCCTTGGTGGATTATCACCGTGCACACGCTTGCCAATCGGTCAAACGCGAACTACAGAGCACCCTTAAGCAGCTGTTAGAAGAAAGGTTTTCTCAGGAGCGTATAATCGATGAGATCAACAGCAGGGCAAGTGCATCCGATCTGTCAGACTCTGATGTCGTTGTTCTCTTGTGGACGACACTAATGAACATAAAGGAGTGGAATAAAAAGCAAGAGCTGGCGGCCGAGCAAAGCGTTAAATATCTTCGACAGGAAGTTGCACCTCTTCTTGCCGAGTTTGCCGGACGCAGCCAAAAGGCAGAAATGGCACTGATGCGTGCTATACAGGAGTATTGTTACGACAATATCAATTTCCTTAAGGTCTTCCAGAAAATTGTCGTTCTGCTGTACAAGTGCGATGTACTTTCAGAGGACACGATCCTAAAGTGGTACAGTGAGAGCCATTCAGCAAAAGGTAAATCCGTGTTCCTCGATCAGATGAAGCCGTTCATCGAGTGGCTGAAGAACGCCGAGGAGGAGGATACTGATGAAGATGACGATTAGAGACGGTGGCAAGATCAACGCACAACCGAGCGGCTGCATTGTGTCAGTGAGTGGCGACAACAGCAACATCAGCAAATCTAGAACATCAAATAAGATCAACAATAGAACGAGAGAAGTTCGATTAGAGAAATCGACTCACGTCAAAACCAATCATTAGCAGCAGCAGTAACGGACATATGTATCGACAGTCAAAACTTTCAAAAATAAAACTACCGCACGAGCCACCGAAATTCTAAGAACAGTTAGCAGCTGGCAGTTGCTTCAACGGTATGGGATTGAGGCAAAGTATTGTTTTTTTTTTGTTGCGTGCTGCTGCTGTTATATCAAATTGCTCTGTTAATTGGGACGGTGGCAACAACGACTACGATAATGGCCGATGGCGTCGTGATACCTCTGTTACAACTACCCAATACTTTTATTACGACGGTTATTTGGTCGAACGAGTCGCAGTATTTAAAACTAAAATGAGGGCAATAAGATCCGACAAGTTATCGACAAGTGTTCGACCTCAGCGAGTTTCAAGAGTGCCCACGAGCATACTACATTTAGAGTATAAAACAACCAACTGAAGGAGACACACACGGACATACCAAGAACTAGTGCATAAGTACTTGTTGTTGTATTCGTCGTCGAATTGCACTGAAAATAATGACGGAGAACAAGAAAAGAAAAGGGCTACGGTGAATTAGGCATATTATAATTGGCATCATTGTGTAAAATGGTCTAAAGTAGCCCCCTTCTTCAAATAAATCCAAACGATGAACAGTGGCTAAAAGGCTTGCCACCTTTTCTCTTCACGAGTTGAATAATAACAACAATTAATCATTGAAAATAATCATTATGCAGATTATGACGATGACCAATGAGCATCAGTGAAGGTAGTGATGATGGCCACGGTAATAATATGAATAATAATCATAACAATAATGACAACGTGATCATGACAGTATCACCAACAACAGGAACAAACATTAAAAAAAAGGAGGAGAGCTGACAAAAATAAAAACAAGGTATGAGGCGACACAACAACACATAATAGTAATAATAAAAGAGCGCTTATGTTTTATACCGAAAATCGTTCAGTTTTCTTTTTGCTCTTAAATGCCGATATGCGTATGTGTCTACCACTCCAACTGCCATGCGATGATTAATCAACAAAGGAAATAATACGATGCTGTCATGCACGTGCAATTCCGTTCATAGCCGTACCTGTCAGCAGTTCTAACGCGTACGCCAACGGAAACAGTGTTCCATTATAAAGCAATAATAATTGTAATTTCTTAGTATTTTCAAAATTTTTCCAATTAATTGTCTTAATCTGCTTTCTTTTTATTGGCTAGAGGCCCTGATCTGTATCTGATTATAATCAGATACGAAAGGATTTTTGTATCTGATTATACAGGAAATTCAAGGCAAAAACAACATCATCAGCAAAACAGGCGACTCTAAACGATAAATTTAAAGACATGAGTGAGGAAATCTGTATGTACATCCAGAGTGATTTGAAAGTTCCTGTCCTTCTTGCTCGTAGTAAGTCACATGGTTTTTCGAATACTAATTCCAACTGAGGTCCACTTATTGCACATTATTCTCCATCGAAAGAGCTGGCAATGATGCTTTTATGATATTCGCACATGTCTTTTTATCTAATTCAACGCACAAAGTAGAGATCTCCAGATTTGCAGGTCTTTTTCCGTTTTCTTCGATCGTTTATCAGGATTAGGGTATCAATCTTACCTTTGAAAAAAGTATATTGCGAGGTTTCCTTCCGTTTTACATTTCGATAGTTAGCCTCTAAACAATATAAAAGCGTGGAACTGCCGTACTGACTACATTAAGAAGTCAGGGTGCCCTATATAAAATTAATAGTTTCTAACTCGTCAAAAAAGAAACGCGACTTGAAGTTTCAAAATTTGTACGATTTCGTCACGTTGCCTAATGATATCTAAACTGAAGAGTTTATTTAAGGAAATGTGAAAGACTATATGGAAGTATAAACGTGTACTTAACAAAGTCTTTTGATTTCGATTGCAATTGCCTGGAAGGAGGAAATAAAGTGTCCCTTTTTCGTGCACTTCTCTAAGCTGCGTCGTATATGCTCATTCTTAGCTCGACAATGATACTTGAAGGCAACTGTCGTTGTCGTCATTTGCTTTTAAAATAAAATTGCTCTTCTGAGACCCGTGCCCTTGTTGTAGTAATCACTCAACAAAGATACGTGACAATAGTTTTAAGCAGTAAATAGGAAAATCTCACATGTAAACGAGCATAGAGATATATTTCTGTAAAATTGATACTTGTAGATGTGCAGTCTATAACAACAAATGCGAATTAAATTCTTTCAAAATAATAATTTCAAATAATTTCAATAGAAATAATTTCAAAGTGGACTGTAATTTAATCTTGACAAAAGCTTGATGCTATTGGATTTTAGGGTCAAGATTATTTTTGTTTGATTTTCTGATCATTTGATGACAAGGCACTGAGCGCGATTTTAAAGTGTTGAACCTCGAAGAGCATTGCTAAACAGATATGTGGACCTTCTTGGGTACACACCATTGCTTACAGAATATTTAAGACGTGCGTTCAAGCTTCCGATAATTTCTGCCTATTCAGAAGCCACCAGCACATGAAAAAGAAAGATAGCGGAGATTCATCCTGGCTTTTATAATATGAAACTTAGAATAAAAAAGTATAAGAAGGGCCGTACAAGACTAACCGTAATAGCACATGATTACACGCTTTGCAGTCTATAGGTTTTATTACATCATATGCGGGACAGTATATTTCCACTTGCTAAAGGCTGCGTGTTCCTGTGCAAAATATGGTGCAGTTTCCCGCAGGTATTATGCGGTGTCAGTTCTATCATTAAGTAGTCTGTCTAAATTTAAAATTTTCGAATTTATATGCTCATAATATATAATTGTGTTCTTCTAAACAGAAATAAACGATGTTATTTAGTAGAAAGGCCTAATAATATACACTAGCTGTCTTACTCATTGTCAGTCGGGAGTTCCTTAGGTAAAAGACATTTGCTTGTAATTTTATTTTCACAAGCGTATTTTGATTGCGATTCAGTTTGGTCATAATCCATATTATAGATATGTTTCATTCATTGAGCTAAATACAATAAAAAATATTCTTTGACTTCCCCCGAGAAGGGGGGGGGGGTGGATTGGTAAATTGCTCGACTTGATTGATGACCATGATTGACTCGCAACATAGACTTATAATATTTTTAATATTTGATTTTTAATATTCGCAGTTACGTTTTATACATATCATTACATTTCATATATTCGAAGTCTCCAGCGTATGACGGGCTTTAATGCTCATTACGTGTAGGACGAAGAACTCGCATGAAACTCTTCTCCAGACAGGTGGGAAAAGAATGTTGCATGCGTTCCTTGACTCGTTCTAGCCGAACCTGTCGGCGAAAAGAAAAAAAGAGCCAAAACGAAAAAAATTATTTATTGCTTACAATCAGATATGCCGTGGTCACAGCCAGTCTGTACAGGGCGCGTCATCTTGAGATCGAAATTTGTCAAAACAATTAAGCATGCAGAGACTTGGGAGAAAAACAATTAAGAGTTAAAACTATGATCAGCGTCAGTATCAACAACGCGGCACATTAAAAGCTGAGTTCTTCATAGGAGAGGGAAATGCAGGGCAATCATCGCTGGCCTGTGAGTAGCGCAACTGTTTCAGCCACTTTAATTAGTTGGTTATTCACCAGTTCGTCTGCCCATACGCTGCTCTAGAAGCACCAGTACACAGAAGTCTGCGCAAATCCATTAGAAGAGCAAGAATCATCGAAAACGTAAGTGTTATAGCCACAATTCAGGCACAACTTTTTTGAGAAGTTTTAAAAGTTTGCACACTAATGACCATCCCCAATTACTCGTGTTTATGGCGCAAAAATCTTGAATAATTACTTACTAACAAGAATACTTAGGAATACTTACCAATAATATAATTCTGATAAGGAAAGAAAGACCTAATCTAAATATTTTAAATAAAGAACTATCTCGGAAGGCTAAACGGCCTCAAACACCACGGGTGGAGTAATGCAGCGAAAGCAGTTATTTGTGAAGTATCTAATACTCCGGTAAGCGATTGGTGTAAATTTCTCCTTTTTCATGATGTGTTCCTGTATCACATTTTTCTTATCATTGATTGTATGTTATATATATATATATATATATATATAACTCAGGGTAGCTAACTAAAACGTCATTTCCCTTTGGCGAACTCCAGTGCTGAGTATAGTACTAGTGTTATGTCGAAAAGTGTTTCTTGCGTGATCGGTATCCTTTTGTGCTCATCACACGCGTGCTGCCCATGTGGGAGTTAAGAATGTCAATAGCAATTCGTATTTAGCTGCAAACAGATAAACAGCGTAGCTTTTCGCTAATCCTTCATTATTTGCAACATTTTTCTGAGTTCATGATAGCCATGCTGGCATTATTTTTTTGGTTTTTTGATGCTGGACGAAGCTTATGCCTAGCTTTCATAAAGTAACGTCTAGACTACCAGACGTACATGCAATTGGCGCCTCTGTACGGTGCGAACGAACTCCTTTGATATATCATTCGCTACACACAAGATAGGTTTATAGGTGAATATTCAGCGTTATTGGTCAATAATATTGATTTTCCATTCAAATCAGCCTGATCAATCATTTGCGCTATATTTGAAGAACTGGAGACGCCATTGGCTTGATCCACATTGCGATAACCTGCATTTTAACCTTTTATGTAAATTTGAGAGAGAATTTTAGTAGTTGTTTGTTTCATTAACAGTCGGGTAAAGTTGACCTAATATAACAAGGGTGGCCTCGGTCGAGCGCAGAAAACGAAGAATCTATTGAAAGTGATGAGATTTGCAGCGCTTGTAACAGGCAGTAAATTAAACCATCAGATCTCTAAGCTATTAGTAGTCATATAATACACGCCAGTAGTTGCCACAGCACTTGTAGCTTGAATGGCTTTACTTCGAAGCGCATTTAAAAACATTTAAAAAGATTTATTACCTTCTACGCTCTTCTTCAAAACTGACATTCTATCTTGCATAGAGTAGCATAGGAAGATCTCCATTCCTTTTAGAGACCACTTCAGATTATTATTGTAAGAACAGTTTTAATGACTAAACGAAACAATAAAACCCAGTTTCATGTATCTGAATTAAAATCCCTTAGTCCCCTCTTATTTCAAATGTTAAAATTCATTATGCAACGAAGCTGATATTAAAAAAAATTAACATACGATTGACTTTTTTGACATCTACTATAGTTCTCTCATGTTCCTTTTAATAGTATTCAAAGTGACGGATTAGCTGTAGATAATGCTCCTGAAGCTAATATGGTCCTTTCGTAATCGCTTAATAGAAAAAAGACATGCAACTAAATTAAGAAAATCCTTAAAAGAAATATGTTATATTTATATTAGGAAAATTTAACGAAAATACTATCTAATTTGTTGCGTACTATTTGTTCAAGTTTAAGATAACAATGGCTTTGTCTAGCGCTGAGGAAACGGACGATGGGCTCATCGTTTTCGGCTATTGGGATATTCGAGGACTGGGCCAAGCTATTCGCTATGTTCTTGAGTACGCAGGATTGCAATACGACGAACACCGGTACCCACTTGGAGAAAAACTTGATGGGCGCCAAGAATGGCTTAAGGCACGTAGCAACTGCACATTGCAATGTAGCAGAATGTAAATTTATTGTATATTATATTAATGAAAATTATAAGTCACAACGTCTACGACGGACTTTTAAGCAAGTGGATATTATGTGACGATTATGTTGTTATGGGTACGCTACACACGATCGATAGAAATTGGAGTGCAGCGTACATCATCTTGCGCGCTCTTTTTCAAAGGGGAGAAGAGTGTGGATAGAGGGAGTTAGAATTTAATGTCTTTGTGCTTTGAGTTTGAGGTATAAAAAAACGGGAAGAATCCACAGGTTACTGTCGACGTAGCATGAGACTGATAAGCTTTCCGTATGTCCGTATTCTGTGATAGGGTACACTTTGTAATTGTTAATTTTATTTCCAATATCCTAGTAAATAACATTAATTAAATAGATATTGCCAATATTTCTCGATCGTCAGCTATAGCGGTAGTAAGGCAATGTAGATGAAAAATGGACAAAAACTTACTGACAGTGTTAGAGCTATTTTTTTAGAAGTCATTACTGCGAGTCGTTAAAACAGAACCGCTTCACCACAGGTGCATGTAGGTAGTATGTCCTATAGAGCCACGAACCACCTTGGCAACTTTGCTACATTGCATTATCAAGCGCACTTTCTTTCAGCAAGTGTGCAAGTCTACAACAACTTACAACAAGCCTATGCAGAGGGTTTTAACAATAAAGCGATGTCAGCGTTTTTTTAACAGGGAGACTCTGTAGGGGAAATACAGTAGTAGGGGCTGATTAACTGTGCCTTCCCTACATATCTGACTACCTATCACATATACACAGGTGCGGTCAACGGAGATTGATGACTGGTTGTGTAGATACCGTCGACTTATTGCTTGCCATGAATGTACATGATTGTTTGCTATTTCAAAGCTCGGACACAATTTGAATTGACTCTCAGTAATATACAAGTAGCAATAAACAAGTCTCGGGGACTGGTGCTTTATTTTATTAAGTGTTAGTTACGTTAAGGCGATTTCAAAGTTAAAAATTATCATTAGTTCATTTAAAGTTTGCTGCGCATACACTGTTCATAACTTGTGAATTTAATGTTATTAAAACTATCCTTCGCATTCCATTAAAGGCTGGTACAGTTGAATAGTCGTGTAGTTGCGGCCGAATCTTACATGCTTAGGGCAGAGGTATCCTATTAGACTATTGAATGCTTGCCTACAGCTGGGCACAGCTAAAACTACTTCAAAACGATCCTCGAAAGCAAATTCTCGAGGTATTTCTTATAAAATAAGAGCTTTGAGCAAAGCATAAATTTACACGAATGCGATTCATTCTTCACTTCGATATCAAATAAAATTTTAGGTCTTACGGGTTCGCATCAATTTGCGCACATCTTTTGCGGTATCACAACGTGAGTCTGATGTTTAATTCTTGGAAATCCTTCTATTAAAAGTGCATTTGGATTCTAATGGATACAAAAAGCTTGCTTACATAATGTTTCACATGTTTTGCTTATAAGGAATATAAAAGGAAAAAGTTAACCGTATTACTGTTGGACCTGTTCAAAAGCCACTGAATGTAAATGATAATCTATTATACGTATTCATTTCTCTGCAGGTGAAGTTCACCCTCGGGTTGGACTTCCCAAATCTGCCATATCTGAAAATGGGTAAGGTGCGCATGTCCCAGTCCCTTGCCATACTCCGTTTTCTGGCACGGCGTACAGGCCTCTTTCCGGGCACTGAAGAAGGACAGCAACGGGTCGATCTCGCAGAACAGCAGGTACGACAAAAGTGTAAATATTAACTTTACATTAACTGTATTTGCTTATACGAAGATTTATCATTACAAAATTGCTTGTATGTGTTCTCTACATTTACGTACGTACATCGTGCCATGTGAACAGCTTCTATGAAAATCGAGCATGTGTTATTTTTTAGTTGACTAATAGTCAGCATGTATTTTTTTTTTACTTGCATTGCACTAAGGTATCACAGTTGTGCGGGTGCAGTGGGTAAGTGTGTTCTAAACTCACGATAAGCTTCATGTTGCGCCTTATTGGTATCATATGTTTTCAGTTTATATAGTTTTTGTAGGTCTGCGTTGATTTTAATCTTGTTGAAACAAGACAGAAACCGTAAGCGGTTTTTCTTCAACTTTTGAATTTGTTTGATTCTAGTATGTGCGTATACGATATGTAAAATTTAATCGGAAATATTTTCAATCGTAAATATGAATTCAGGTGTACGATATCATCTGGCATAACGTGCGTGTCTGCTATGATTCGCAGTATAACGATAAGAAAAAGGTAAATTTTATTAATAAAACCTATTATATATAACGTGATGAACATCATCTAAATTACGTTTTGCAAGTATTACTATTGCAAGTTATTGCTAAAATAAATACGTGCACACGGTAGGAGCTCTTCAATCAAATAACTGGAGGTAAGATTTGCTGGGGCTAACCTAAATAAAAACAACTTGTAGTTTTACTGTATCAACATCAATGTTATTCTAATTACTATGCTTTTATAAGACAATAAAAAATGCACGTTTCGTTTATTAATATAAGTTTTAATATAGCTAAGACAGTATACCGTTATGCCAATTTTACTTGGCGTTGTGGAATTTACAAATGTTCTATTCCATGTCTCATATATTTGTTCAGGAGGAGTACATGAAGCAATATTTAGAACTTTACTGTCCTCAGTTGGAGACTTTCCTGGGTGATCGAAGCTTCATTGTAGGCGACGAGCTAACCTATGTTGATTTTCTCGCTTATGAAATGTTCGACCAGCACAGGTTTGTATCAGGAAGTATTGTAAAAATGAGCATACCCAGTAACCTTACAGAGGAGAAATATTTCGAAAATCTCATCTTCAAAGCTTTACAAAAATAAACGGGCCCACTTGCGCTTCAATTTCGCAATGTTATAAACATCGTTGTTATTATGACCGATGACTGACAATATGAATTTTAGTGTAATATATAGATTAATATACAAAAATGTATTAATAAGAATATTTAAAAATATAATTTGAAACCATCCTAATTCTTACACATGAAACACACTGCGAATGAACTAATATAGTGTACACACGTGGAATGACCAACTCAAGAAAAAACGGGATGCACATTACGTGTATAATGGCTTTAATATTAATTTACAGCTTAATGCTTACGTTTTAGGGTATTGTGGCCGGAATATGAAAAGATGTACGCTCCATTTCCTCAGATCAACGCATACCTCCAGAGACTCGAAGCTCTTCCAAAATTCGCGAAGTTCCTTCAAAGTGATAAGTATGGCTATAGTAATTTGCTGTTTCTTTTTTTGCATATATTCTGTATAATCAATAAAAAAGTACAAACACCTCTGCGTAGGAAATCTTCGGCGGAAATTTAAATAGCGTAAAATCTTTTCTAACAGGTACAAGGCGTGGCCGGTTTGGAGTGAGCTATCGTATTACGGCGGGCCTGCTATGCCTCCTCCTCGTCCTCCTATAAGATAAGTTCCCACGATGATGATGATGATCGTGCGACAGCTTACTACGGCGAAATAGACTAAGCAACTGAACGCAATTTGCCCAAAAATAATGAAGCTGGAAACCTTCCTAAGATGTATTGCCGTAACAAAAAAAAACTTTCGACTAAGACAGATATCATTCTAATCTTGTGAACGAACTAGTAAAATGAATTAAGTACGTTGGATGAAATAGGATATATAACACATTTCTTACGGATTAAACATTTACAACTATCTGTTAATAAATTATTGACGACTGATGGATCACCCGAACATTTTAATTCGCTATATAAAATGTGTTGTTTTGTTTTAAATGAGCTTATTATCAACTAATCTGTACATTCAAAGTTTTCACAAGTGGTTCACAGGTACTGTATTATTGCAATTCCTTAAGCTGATCTGTTAAAAAAATATTTCTTTTATACCTCTGAAATCACGATGTATGCATAATGGAGGAAGTGGTGTGAGGAAATGACTGAAACAATAACAGCGTGTTCCCTCTTCTTCTTTAAGTACATATCTTGTGCCCCTATTTAAGCTGGAATAGACAAGTTATAGAGTAGTTGTGATTTTTCGTGTATATGCAAAACGGGGCATCTAAATACTTATTGAAATACTTACTTATTTTGCTGAATTCTTTCTAAAACTGCATCTAAATAAAAACAAATATTTCAATGAAGTTACATGTGTTAGAAGCGTCATTTTTAATGGAACTTTCATTGAAAATAACCATCATTAGTCGCAAATACAGCTCCAATACGGAATCTTAAGTAGTTTTCTAAAATATTCCTTCTTTAATCTGCAAATAACTTTTTAATGGTAACCGAGCGTCAAGCGATATTAGTCGGTGCACCCTACTACCTAATATGTCGACCGAGTATTCTAGATACAAAAAATTCCAGTAAAATAAAATTTTGAGCTGACAACAGGCCAAAATCGTAAAACTGTATGCCCAAAACGGCCAAAATGTCAGAGGTGCAAATTTTTAAAAAGCCTAACCGTTAGAGCGAATCTTGATGTCCTTATTGTCAGTTGATGTTTTCATCTACAAGACGACCGTTAATTTAGGTTTAACAAACCCAAATGTATCAACAATGGCTTTTGGGTCACTTTGATGAACAAGATGTTAAATCTAAACTCTGTAAAGTATCTTTCAGTTTGCCTCATGAAAGCCCTTCTCGGTTTTTCAGAAGTCGCCTGAAAACTGGCAACAACCTAGACTCTTTATTTCAGATAAAAAATAAAGTTTCGATCTTGGTGAAGATTCATCTAGTACGAAGATATAAGACATGAGTTCACTTTTGCCCAAATTGCGAAAACAACAGGTTGTTTTCTACGATAACAAATTTGCTGCTTGTCTTAAAAAGAATAGGTTTTCTTACGGTACCAACAATGGCGGATAAACGGGCGCATGACACGCCAAACAACTCGTGAAAGTTTGTTCTAATTCTGATGACATACACTCTAAATATAGCTATGCGAATGGTGAAATACTCAGCAATTATAGGCTTTCTAAAATAAATCACACGAAGTACAGCATAGCCAACTGTACAACAAAACAAGAATTCGTCGTTCCTACACTTTGCTGTTCATATATATATGTTACAGGGAAAGTTTTTCTCTTTTTGAAAAACTTTTAAAACAACGAAAGAGAACCACGACTTTGCATATCGTTGATGCACCACCATAAAAGAAACGAAGGAATGAACAGTGGTGCGGGGCTCCCAGAAACAACAGTTCACATATGGAATAAATGAAAGATACGAGGGAACACATACAAAGGGAAATGGCAAAACTGGGAAGACTGCTAAGGACGCCCCTGGAAAAACACCGAGAGAAAGCGAAGGAGAGAATCAGGCTCATAAAAGGAACAACGCTAAATTGCTGGGATAGCTTGAGTGAATTTGACTGAAAATGGGAAGACAACATTAAGGGTTACACGACCACCACAACATCCGCTGACAATAATAAAATTCTAAAAAAAAATCCTTATGAGAATTGGAAACCTAAAAAGGTTCACAGATTTTTGGATCCCTCGTCCCTACGGCAAATGAAAATTCGAAGGAAGCAGAGCATCACCGGAAAAAAGGGTGGAACTGTGATGAATACATTTTTCGGCTCCGGTCGGTATGAACAACCTAACGGGTCTGCACACAACAGCTAACCGAATTTCATTAGCCACGCCACGCATTGTTACTGACGTGTGAGCAAACTGATGTTGGGAGATGGAATGTATAATAACAACAGTAGTAGCACACCGTCAAAGTAACGAGCTATTTCGCAACGTCCTATTATACTTCGTAGGGATGTCGAAAGACAAGAAAAAAAGATGTAAAAAAAAACTACCTCTTATAAAAATACAGATGTCTCACCCTGGGACGAAAAAAATTAAGCGGTAGGTGCATCTTTACACTTTAAAATAGGAGAGAGTTATTATTATATGTATCTTTCTATATATATATATATATACCAGTTTCGAGCAAAAATAAAAATTTTTAGTCTTGGTGGGGGTTTATTTAGCGCAAAAAGGTTGGATACCAATTGATTTTCCTTGGATTCCAAGGACGAACTCTATTTCGCTTTGACGGGTTTGGTTTAAAAAGTACTGACTTTTTCTTAATACGAAGAATACGGGATGAAAGCATGCCTTTTGAAACAGACTTCCAAATTTTGCCCGAATTCAAATGTGCTTCAAAAATTCATATAATTTTGATATAGCTGATAGTAATGCAAGTTAGCTCAATCCGCGCTTACAAAGAGTGAGGACCATAAATCAAGGCGTGTGTATGAGAGAGTGAGAGAGAGAGAGAACGGGAGAGCAGCTAAACGTGTAGTTGGTAGGCATTGAGTACTTTTGTGGTTCCACGTAAAATATGCAAACACAGAACAGAAAATTCTTATTAAACGTTTTGGCTAACAGCTTATGCACTATTTCGGTAGTAAAGGATGTTAGCGAACGTGTTAGTTTGCGCGTTCTTGCTGTGGTCTGATAAGTGTGCAGATAGTGTAAGGGCTTCTTATAAGTATGTGGATGAGTTTCAGGATACTTGTACATTCGCATGAGCCCAGCTAGAAAGTGGTAAGCGTCAAAAAACACAAAGTGTAGGAAGAATGTTAAACGATCAGGAAACATTTAGAAGATACGAAAGAGCTCCTAGCAGCGTCCGTCCTAAGCGCATTGAAATGGAAGTACGGAAGGCTTCAACAATGAAGGGAAGTTAATTGTTGCTCTCTAAGTGGGTACAGGGTAAACTATGTCAGTGTGAGGTAAACTACCCGAATTTATCATATCATCTCGCTCATGTCTAAATATGTTATTAACGTAAACAATGAAAATAGCAGACATTATTTTAAGGGTTTTCCGCTTCCGAACGGCACAGGTTACGAACGCTCTCCTCCACAATAATCGACAATAACCAATATTTATACTTGACCTTATTGTGAAAACAATCAGCTGATATCTTGCGTTTTACTATATATAGGTATATAGTTTTTTTTTTTCTATAAAAATAATTATTTTTATCTACTGTAACATCACAAATGAAAAACAGATATTTAGCAAAATTAACTCATTTATTGTGCCAACTAATTTCCTCAGTTCTACCCGCTAGTCATATCTATCTTAGCCATACCTATCGACGCTCCCATACGCTTAAATCGGTTGTTCTAAAACAGAAGTCAGATAAGGATGTTTTAAAGTAAATTCGCTTACATATTACATATTACGATGATGGCTTAACGTGGTACCAAAATAACCCAACATGGAAATACCCACTTATCAAATGATACCATTCTGCCGCAAAACGCTTTGTTGATAAACGAAAAGCAATTTATTTTTTGAAACTTGCTTCTGCATGGGTATAACTTACGCACTTCGTATACAAGCGTTTGATGTATAATGCACAGATTAAACTTTGTATTAATCAGAAACATTGAGAGTGTTCACTTATTACGTAGTGCACTTATTAGTTTATTTGTATTTGATAGGATCTAGATCCACTCATGCGGATATCACTTAAGGCAATAGACTGTAGCATGCATTCACTATTTCCACCACCTTCTCGAAAGTTTTAACATTTTGGTTTGGTAACTCATAAAGATGAAGTCGACTTGTAGCTAACCGTTCTGAAGTCATACTGGTAAAGCTCTTTATAACAGCCCATATTCTATATCCTATTCCAATAATATTATGCGAAATTTTAAGATGGTCGTCTAGCGTTTCTTACAGGTTTTAGCAGCAGTTGCATATAGAAATCAGTAGAACAGAGTCGCTTTGCCCCTTCCCCCGTACAAAGGTGCCTCTATTCCATTTTTTTTTTACTCAGATCAAGTAAAGCCGGCCTATAGTCAATGCGCTCCTTGAGTTTATTGTTCGTCTAAAGTCACTTGAAAAATCAAACCAAAATTTGTGCATGTACCCGAAAAAACAAAAAACATAGGAACTGCTAAAAGGTTAAACATCAGTGGGCATGCTGATTTTGCCCAATCTATATTGAACTTATCAGGAGACAAGTTCAATTAAGTGCAAGTTTGCAAAAGCTACAAACTACAATGAAAACATGAATGCCTTCACGTTGTGTTGACCTATGTAATAATGTGAAGTGAGTTCTAAGAGGTAAAAAAATACAGATGTTCTAATACGACCAACGACGCCAAAACATATGCTAACCTTAATCATCTTTTTTGTTGCTATCAAGTACATAGGCAGTATCTATTTAATCGGCTGACTTCACGAACGCAGACTTCATGATAGGACAATGTTTGAGCTAACGGGTACATTCTCACACATATATGTATTTACACAGTATATACAATGGACAAGCACATCAAGGTATACTTGTTTTAGTCATACATCGCGGCACTGCTTTTACGTAACCGTTGTATTGAGTCCGCAATATTAAATTATTTCCATGACGTCTTCTACCATAGAACTTATAGGTTCAGGCATTTCGCCGATCAGTGGAACCCTGCTGTTGGGGCTAGCGGAATCCGATTCTTGTTGCTCCATCTCATTGCTACCGTTGCAGAATTCTGACGAATCTGCAACGGCCTCTGATGCTGTTGGTGTTAATGGTGCAAGATGAGTCTTCGGCGGAGACCAAAGAACGACAGCCATTGTAGACTTTTTTATCCTACACAAACAGCGGGCAAATATATTCAGCATAATATTCAGTATTTTATTTTATAATTAGATATATAAAGTAGGTATTTCAGTATAATACATAACAACAATAGCTTTTATTGATCCCGTTGGCAGCAACTTGCAGAAAAGTAACTAAATAATGCCCAGGGGGTATAACATTTTATGCAAATCATCTCATGTAGACATTCGACAAATACATAAGTTGCCCGTTTTCATAGAATTTATTCTATGAAATTTTCAAATTAACAAATTGGTCACTATTGTAAAAAAAACATTATAAAATAAGTCTAGTACGAATAGAAGTCGCCAATAGTTTATTTGCACTGTAACTACCGCAGCGTTTTTGTCTTCAGCATTGTATGTACTACTTACATTTCCATCGCAAGCCGTTGCTCTATCGAAGAGTTCGCAGCAACAGTAGGTTTTACTCCACTGCAGATTAACAGAGGACTATCCACAGTTTGATCGTCTTTGAAATCAGCATCATCAGCATCAGCATCATTACCATCGTCATCGTCGTCATCTTCTAACGTGATCTGTTTCATAAAGCTGCTACCATTCGTGTTATTGCTGTGGTAGCCTTCCACGAGTTTACCAAATCTACAAGTTTACATTATGAAGATTCAATATTATGACATAAATTCTCATGAAATAAAAACGTAAACTTTTAGAGACAACAGTAACGGGGTTACATTCCATTATTTATAGTGATTTTTCTGTCGCAATTTTCCTATGGAAATAAAAGCGTTAGAAGCTAGTTTCGAATGAAAGCCAAATACCAATTTAACATTTCCAGTATACTTCGAACCGCTATAAATGTAAAGTACTTGCGCTTTTCCTAAACGTTGCTTGAGACGTTTTACAAGATTTAGAATATTGTTGCTATATTGTGCTATATTGTGACTGCGCTACTACTGTTGTAAACATACCCATTATACTGTTGCGAAATTACTGGCTCGTTGTTGTTGAGCATAATAGGTGTCGAACTGATTTGGGTCTGGCTGGTTTCTACTGGAAGTGAACGATCAAAAAGAGTGTTCGAGGATTCGTCTTCAGTTGATCCAATTTTTGCTCTTTGTTGATTCGAACTTTGCGAACCAACGAGTTCACATTGTTCGCCCTGCTTCTGCCGATCACGTAGACTAAGATCTCCCATTCGAGCCACCATTCGCTCGGTAATAAAGATTTTACCGCCGACCGCATCTAAAAGATTTCTTTGATTATTTTACTTGCTAATAAATCTGTTTACGTATGTCAAGCTTTAAAACACAAATCGCAGCTTAGAAGTATAAACAACGCCTGAGATCAGAGGATAAAACCTGACAAAGGCAGTTATTGTCTACTACTAACCTGATGATTCATCAGATGATGACAGAATCCCTCCATCTGATACAACATGGCCAGGGCGAAGTTTGCGCTTAAAACGTGGCGCGCAATACGAAGTCGACGGAAAAGGCTGTCTCTGCGCGTTTTGTGAGAACAAATCGCCTGTGGCTGTAGGTTTACTTGCGGTTATATCACCTTTAACAGAGTTACAAAACAGCAAATTAAGAAGTAAAGTCCTACGAAGACAACCGATGCAAAATAGACACCTTTTTGAAATTTTTTGCCCAACGCGATAGGTAAGATTATACTGTACGAGCTGAATATTATAATTTGAACTTAACTCATATTGTCATCAATCATTAGATTTTTTTACTGCGGTTAATAATTGCAATTTCCAAATTGAGCTACTTCGACGCATGCATGTTTTTCTTTTTTTTTTTTAAATGAAATAGGTAAAGACACATTTGAGTAATGCACGCACCTGCTGCACAAAAACATTGCGGAGCGCTGGAAGTGCAAGGATCACCTGGGTAAACAACTAGCTGTTGACTGGCATCCAGTTGTCGCGGCAAGGTCTTCGGCAAGTTAGCGATATCTGATTGAATATTCGGCAAAAATGTTTTTAGTGAAGTGTTTTTCTGGTAGAATTTGTTATAGACAGATGCTGAAGCATCTCATAAGATAGTGTAATTTGTTAGAACTTTACCATTAAGGCTAAGAGTTTCTGGGGCACCGGCTGCCTGAAGTAAATTCATTGGGTTACCGATATCCGGAGTAGGCCTGACCACAGAGCTAACAGGAGTGACAGTTGGCGTGGTGGCGAAGTGAGAAATAGTGGGTGGCACAGGTTGCCGAAGGAAAAATACGTTATTTGGTGGTCCAGTTCCTGAGAACGGTCTCTGCGACGGTGGCAGCGTCCACGGCATTTGACTAGGAACAGTGTGGGTCCATTGAGCTGCCGCTGCCGCCGGTCCTACAGGTTGCGCGCCCCTGAAATAGCCAACTTTAGTAGAAATATATTTACCGCCACGTTGATGGAAAGTTCTGTAAATCCAAACTGAAGAAATTCTATGCTTTAAACATATCAGTCGTTTCCAATGTTTAAATTCAAAATCAGAACAAAACTAATATCAATCACCCGAGTTAGCTGAGTAATAGTATTGCAGTTGTCAGTTCTTGGCAACAAGTATGTCAAATAATGATGTCCACGAAAAAGTCACTCTGCTGTTAATCATCACTCTAAATATCTACTGCAAGTAATAAACGTGTATGTACCTTGTCTGAAAATAAGTCTCAAATACGAGTACTACATGTATTTTTTTCCTTAACTACATATAAATTTAACTAATCATTTATCATTTATAACATATATAACATTATATGTACTTGTCAGTTATTCGGTCCAAAAAGAGCAACCGATCAAACTGGTAATGGCAAGCTATGACTTAATTTGGATCTTAAACAAACCTTCTTTGTACCAAAGTCCAAAAGCTTTTTAGGGACGATATTTCGAAGGTAATATTTATCGTACCAGCATTGTGACACAATATATACAAATGTGTATTTTCAATTTCGTCACAGCGTCCAAAGCAAGATACATACCCTGCGCATTCTGGATTTCTTGTCGGATACAGCATTGCAGTATCGTTGTTGAACTTCCTACTGACGTTTTAATTTTTATGACGTGAAAAGCGATACACCTTCTCTTTTTCAGGAGGCTGTTTTGAGAACGTTCGCACTCGAGGTGTGTAACGCCCACTTCCCTTTGTCCACTTGTTTTATCTATATTGTACTTATAGCTCACGCATCCGCCACCGAAAATACTCTATTGCAAAGTAGTAAGAACACAGTTGATTCTCTGTACACTGATGCAACTACGCAGTACTTTTGATTTTTTTTCGAGATACATAAAGCAATCTATGATGATCAGGTTTGATTAGGTTAATTTCTTAGCAGGCCAGATTGGAACTCGTTTTTTGCGAGAACTGTAATGAAGAATGCCTGCTCGGTGGTAGCTTAGGTAGGTACAACTGTTTTCTTTCTCGACTAGTCGTGTAAACTCTCGATGCTCTACTGTTTACTGCTGCCGAAGCTAGCAGCGCTCAAACTGGAAAGGGTCACCTTACCCTCGCCAGTTAAAATGCGCGTTTCACAAAGACAAACGGAACAAAAACTCTACGTTTGTCAATTTTAATGCATTCCTGAAACTTTTTTGCATTCTAGTTACGCCTTTTTCAAATCGCTGGTAATAATAACATCTCTGTTTTTTGGGACTGTTGATCAAAAGATGCAACAAGCGTCGTACATTGAACAAATTTGCGTTTGACGAATGGTTGTTGAGTTTCCAATCAGATATGACATTCAGATGTTTCTGGATGTTAAAATTTTTGTCTTAGTATTTATAGGTGTTATATTATACTGAGAACCCTGCTAAAGTAAAATAAATACAAAACGCAACCCTCTTCTTGTGTGCGCTCTTTCCGCGCCGATGTGATGGCCTTTCGTTTTGTCGGGTGCTAGAACCTTCTCGAACTTCAAACAGTACCGAAAAAGCAGAGACTTTAATTTTTTAAAATTTTCTTTTCTAGGCGTTGGTTGGACTTGAAGAAGTTGATAGAATATACATTGTTATTTTTTATGTAACTTGTGAAGTGTATCGTGATTTTAAAAATCTACCTAAGGCCAAATTTGATAAACCGTGTGACTTCTTTCACACCAATTTTGTGTTGCTTTGTCTTATCGGACTTTATATTAAATTTATTTCTTTACCCACTGACGTTGGATGTAAAGATTGAGTTCGATTCTCTCTCTTTTTTGACGGGTAGATTGGTGGTAACTAAATGCATGTCCTCTAACATTTTGATGGAACCAACACAGTTACTCTCGTTGGAATCTGCTTTCGAGAAAGGTACCCAAAAAGGAATTATTATGAAACTTAAAAACGGCCAGTGGTTTTTGGGAAGTTCTTTTTTATATTATTATAGTATTTAGTCGGAAAATTATTACGGCAATAAACTATACAAGCTATATGTCTCTCAGGCAATGGGCAACTATGGCATCCCCAGAATTCTATGATTGCTATATCGTGGACTATAAATCACAAGAAAACACGCAAGACTCCGAGACGGGAATTAATTAGCTTTTAGGATAGATTCTTTTTTCCTTAAATGCATATTTACTGTAGATACAACTTCACAATTTATTTGCAAGAACTGATCCTTTTTTTTGTGATAGCCTATTATATTATTATTTATCTTGTCTATCGTTTTCACGTATTCAGAATCGATATTACAACTCTTTTGTCGTACCTTTTGTTTTCGTATTGATATGTTTTACGTTCTGCAGAGTCCGTCCGAGTGGCTTAATAAGCCCCCATGGACATATTTTTTTATTTCTTCTCTTTCTTAGGCAGGTTTTTTCAGTAGGTCGGTAATATTCGCTCGCTCCGTTCCGAGATCACTCGCATTTATAATAACGTTAATCTCTAGTATTAAACACTTTGCGACTGGAGCTGATGTTATATGGATAAATGAAATAGTAAGGGGACAACGTTAACAGTATGGAGTTTCAATATTTACCTTATAAATGTATCTTTCATATATTCCAGTTCAAATGTGTTCGAAAAATTTGTATCATTTATTACACCATTATTATCTGTATACGACTGAGTATTATTTTAGAGCTATATCTGTTGCGTTTTTTTTACAAATAATCCAAGTAACATGTCTTTTTTATTATTCTCTGGCCTAGGGAAGCAAAATAACAACATACATTATCTTTGAGCTTGTAAGCGTATTTTATTATCACATTAAACATTAGTTTAGATAAAATATATTGAAATTACTCATGTATTAAATACGGGTAAACCAATATGTTTCGAATTTTACGTTCGACCGTGAAGTGAAGCGTTGCCTTAGATGGCTGACTCTCACCACAGAGCGGAGTGTTTCAATGCCTGTTTTCGAACTTAAACGACTACATGCCCTTAGTTTAGTAGACAAATACGTTACGTATACACCCTCACGGAATAAATAAGAGTAAATCCGCCACATTGGAAGGAACACTCAAGTAAGATATTTTGAATTCTCGCGCGAAAGGCGTCTGTGTGAAGTGAGACTCATAGCGCCAAAAATGCGTATCCGTTAAAAACATCTGTCTTAGCAATGGCGGCTCCTGACGTGAACAATCTGCCTTGGTAATTATTGAGCCTATAATTACGTCGTACGCATTATTATCTAGAATTTTTTTAGAGACTACTTAAGTGATACATTTAAGTAGGCTTGCGTATATAATGCCAATACAGCATAATTTTTAAGATAGTCTTTAATCCGATAAATACAATCACTTAAGGAACATAAGACGTTGGCTACTTAAAACAATACCAGTTTTTCTTAACAAGAGTATCATGGAGCTCTCGTTACCTAAATTTTCACTTGTACTTATTATTAGAGGTGGTGTGTGTTCAATATATGGTGCATATAAAATTCGTCTATAGGTTACATTTCTTGGTCAATTAAGATATTTTTAAAGAGCTTCTGCAATCTATAAGAAATGAATTATTGAAAATCATTACAGTACGCGCTTTTTTATTCAATAAAAAGGCTTTTTAGAGAGAAAAACTGGCAAGTCGTAACAGTATTCACTACCTAATTCTGGCCTAAAAAAATACAAAGTCAAGTTCTGCACTTGATGGCCATCATAAAAATGAAATGAAAAGGTTTCATATTCTGTTACGATAAATATGATCCTACAAGAAAACTACAAGAGACATTAATAAAGAATATTGAATACATAAGACAATATTCCGAGCAAAAAAAGATGCAAGTGTCGGGCATTTACATCTAGTTAACATCCGCGTTTACATCTAGTTCTATCATAAGTTATAAATGTAAAGACATGCAATATCTCATTGCTTTACGCAGGTAGTTACTGCCTAAATACGATTTTGAAAATCAGTGCCAACTAGAATATGTATGCCTCATTTCTTAACGACGATTTGATGTCTTTTGTGTGCTTTATTGTGACTTAGGGTGGAGAAATATCGACCGAAGACGTTGCAGGATCTGATTGCCCATGAAGACATAATTGCAACAAGTAAGATCTAAAAGTGGTTTATAGCTCGTCTTTGTTCTTACTAGCAGTCTTATTTAGGGCCTAAGTATTATAGCCATGAGGAATTCTCTGTCATAAGTCTACCTTATTCGAAAATTTTGTGAGATTCTTTTTATGGAAATGATGGGCTAAATTCAACGCAGTCTATTAGTGGAGCTAATCTCAATATATTTGGACTCGCGGACTATTGATTTAAAATTTACTTCCGTATGGTTTCGCGCTGTTTTATTTATTGAATTAAATAGTACTTTATAATATTTGTCGTATTTTAGTTGACCGATTCGTCTCGCAAGACAAATTTCCTCACCTTTTATTTTATGGCCCGCCAGGCACCGGAAAAACATCGACGATCCTGGCAACCGCCCACAGACTTTATTCGCCGACTGAATTTAACTCGATGGTACAACTTATTTAATGGTCTAGTTTTATGTTTCATGGCAAACATTTTTACGGCTAAAAACGCTATAATAATTGTTAATATGCCTAGGTAAGTAGACATGCCATTTACGTCACGGTGTCACATAAATTATAATGCAACATACTATGGATATAGAAATTATTATGTTATGCTATAGCGACGTTGAATATGGACAGGATGTGCTATAAATCATAATTCTTCGCACAGGTCATTGCCATTACCGGCACTATTCGATAGTACTTATCTTCAATCTGCTCCAGGTGTTAGAATTAAACGCATCGGATGATCGTGGTATTGGTATTGTGCGCGGGGAAATTCTAAATTTTGCTTCAACACGCACAGTCTTTAACAAACGGTTCAAGCTAATTATTCTTGACGAGGCGGACGCCATGACCCAAGACGCACAAAACGCTCTTCGTAGGTATGCAACTAATATATGTAACATTAAACAGTAAGAACTTTACCTCACAGTAAGTCTGCATTTGTCGTTTGATTCTTCGTGTAATATTAAAAGTAGTTTGGAGAATGTTATAGGCAGCCAAGAAATATTTAAGATTCAATATGCAATATTAACGGTGGTTAGTTATATATATATATATACGTCCTTCAGGGTGATTGAAAAATATACGGATAATGCGCGCTTCTGTATCATCTGCAATTACCTTTCCAAAATTATCCCGCCGCTTCAGGTAATTCTTTTTTTCATTTTTTCTTAAATGTTTTTGAAAATTTAGTTAAGTTTAAAGCCATTGTATAAATGAAGCAAATATTTCCTCGCTATCTCCAAATTATAACTGTCGTTAATAGCTATTCCGTACTGAATAAGTCTTTACCTAATGATGGTGAGCTTACTTCAGTAATATTTTACATAGTCACAAGTGTCAAGATAGAAGTCATGTGTACTAAAGCAAACGTTAAGAATACTCTTGACGGTGTGATAAGAAGCTTACGTAATAACACGTAGCATATAAGCGAGATTTACTTACAACTACCATCATTAACACATTATTTTAATTTGGTTCCAGTCTCGATGTACACGATTTCGATTTGGACCCCTATCAATTGAGCAAATGGTGCCACGTATTAAGCATGTCATTGCGGAAGAAAGGTACGATAAGCCTACATAACTTTATCATTGTATAATATATATATAACATACGCTTACACAAAATAAGCTTTAAAGCTTCCACTAGTAATGATTCGTTGCGAATATTAGTGGGGCAGTGACGCAAAAAATCTCATAAAAACTGCACGTAGAAAAGTTTCCAGGGCAACTAATAAAAATGTGTATTTTGCCGCCATAGCGTGAAAATTAGTTCGACGGGAATTGACGCCATTATAGAGCTGTCTGAGGGAGACATGCGGAAGTCACTTAATATTCTCCAGTCGGCCTTTATGGCTTTTGCTTCTAAGGTGAGCTTAATATGTCGTTTTGTCTGACCGTTCGTACGCGGTTGTTTATCTAGATTTATTGTCACCTGAAAGATCGGGTAACTTCGAAAGTTCTTCGTGAGCGTACAAAGAAGTTGCAAATACGCATTCTAAATTTAGTATTGAATTTATGCGGTCACCTTGGCTCGAGTCCGCCTAGAAAGTGTATTAAAAAAATGGGATATAATCTTAAACACTGCCTGAATTTTAGCTTAACAATTTTTACTTGCTTAAATCTTTGTCCTATATTTCCCTCTACTTTGCTCTTATTACAAAGAATGAAGTTATTACGGAGGATGAGGTTTACCAATGTGTAGGAGCACCCCAAAAATCCACCATTGCAGAGATTATGGGCACTCTAATGAACGACGATGTAACAACCGCATACAATAAGGTAAGAAGAGATTCAACCGTGTGGGTAATCTGTCTTTTTCAACGAATATAGTTGAGTACTCGACAGCCAAATTATATTTATTATTAAATTATTATTATTTTTATTAAACTATTAAGAACCAAAAAAACCGAAAAAAGAGACTACTTTTCACCAATGACTCATGAGCATACTACATAATGAATACTTGCTGGAGGAACGAACCATAGTTTCCACGCAAGGTCCATGCACATCATGACTAATTATTACCCTTGTAGCTAGGCGCGAGACCATAAGGAATGGTACGTGGGCGGATGTACGATAAAACTTATTTGTCTTTGCCCATAAGATTGACTTAGGACTATGCATACGCCAATTGTTGATGATTCTAGCAGGAAGCATTATTATTTCAGGTGCTGTCGATAAAGCAAGGTAAAGGTCTGTCGATGCAAGACATCGTGGGTCGTGTTCATTTATTTATTGCCAGCCTCGATCTCAAATCGCAAGTGAAAGTCTTCATTTTCTCTAAATTAGGTGAAGTAGAGTAAGTATGGAACTCGAATAACACTTTGAAGTGAGTTAAGTGTTTGCAACGAGCTGATTCTGATCTATTAAGTAACCATTAAAAACTATAATAAATGCGCAGTACAAACTTACTCATTTGATCGACCAACATCAATGTGAGTCAGTTTGCAACGACATATTAGCCTGCTTTTGTGTCTAACAGAAGTGACGATATCTTGTCTCCATAGGAAGCGATTGACTGTAGGCACCTCGGAGAATATCCAACTTGCTTCACTCGTCGCTCTAATATTCCAGGCTCGCCAGCTCATGTGAAGTTTGCAAGGAGTAGGACTTCATGTAAAAAAATTTCGGCAGTATAACTTGACCTATGAACATGCTTTAGGGATTTGGAAATAATCACGTCAACTAATGCTCACCACTTACTTCCACTCAAATACTTTACGCCACCTGTATGGAACTCATTTGTTAACTAGAAGTTGGATAATAATAAAAGTGAATATATTCGAATGACGTTCGTTTCCTTATTACTGGTTTGCTGATTACTATTATTATTCATTATTTCTCCGTTTATGACTGTATTAATTCTCTGGGAAGATTAAACCTGTAATATTCAGGTTTTAAAATAATTATTTAACGTTTTGCACATAGGTTAATTTTTGCATTTGTGTTAACAGAAATAATGGACAAGTGTCTTCTCACGATCGCACTTTTCCTGTTTTTAATTTATTGTTACCGATGCGTACTATACTAGGCTAGCTCATGTTGGTAGACTCGTGCATTTACAGCTTAAAAATAAACCCTCTTCCTGCTGCATCTTAGAAACCCGCGTGTTTGGAAATATTGAGGTCCATGTGTTCTTTGATCGATCCGCTTAAGAAAGCTCAAGACCCTTAGAATTATATTACAAAAAAACTACAAGTTCTGAGGGTTAAAAAAAATGTGTTCTTAAAAGTATAGAATACTGATACGGCATTTTTGAGGCTTGTTAAATCACAAGCCAATTCTAATTTTTTAGTCGTTTTATAATAACCGACCGATACCAATTAATACAGGTATAAATCAGTCAGAAGTCCTCCACGCTTCCGCATTTCGTTAATGGTGTCTCTAGTCACGATAAACTTTAAGGTTTAATTTTGCCGTGCACTTTGTGAAATAAATATATGTACTATGACAATCACGCCTGAACGAAGGTACGTAAACTGGTAAAGAAGAAACTGCCCTAAAATTATGTTCTGTTTAAAACGTTGCTGATCGAATTTTATCGACAATCTTTACGTAATATCCTGTAAATAAAATTGGACCCACAAAACAAAATACAATTTTTCGAAAGACGAAAGAAAATGTTAATCATAAATGGCATTTTTGATCTTTATCCGCTAGGAACTCCACTACATAGTACTATGTCCGCTACATTTATAACTTAAAATGAGAAGCTTGTTGTGTTTTCGGTATATTTTTTTATTACTGACAGCCGCAACGTCAGTACGCCTGATGTTTTCGCGTGACGATTGAACGAAGTCGAGCCGTGATTACCGCGTGGTCGATAGACAACCAATGCCTAAATCATCTTGCGCAGTAGCGAGTTAATAAGCGTCTCGCGATTACCATAGTCCCCACCCTCGACGAAGTGGGTGGTCTTCTTTCGCCATCCACCCTTGGGGTTGTTGAGTTTGAAATGCCACAGGAAGTTGACAACCTGTTTAAAGTTAGGTCCAACCGTGTAGATCTCATGAACGAGGTCTTCCATACAGATAATACCATACTTGCCCAACTTCTCCTCAATAATGGAATTATCAATAAGCGGTACCCGGCGACCATTGACGCGTCCAAAGCCGCGTTTATATATCAAGTCGCGCACGGTCTTGAGGTTAGGGTAACCCCAGGCAAGGTAGGGCTCAGCTAAGCGAAGCATGTTGATGGTGGCCTTGTTCAGCCGCACGAACATCGCGTTGTTGATTTGTCGTAAGCGGAACAACTGCATGACCTTTCTCGGCTTGGGCGAAACGCCGGTGATACCGCGGATACGGATCACAATGGCGACCTGAAAAAATCAAAAGACTTACGTTACACTTCGTCGGATTATTTCGCCACATTCGTGTAAGCACAATTATTGCCTAGACCTGGCAATAGTTTTAACGATTTTGATTTCCTCTGGTTATATAATAATAATTTTACGATGTATGAAACACGTAGTCGATTTGAGTAGGTGACAGAAAATAAAGAAGCCTCAGGGGCAAAAATAATATAATAAAATTAATGTAATAAAATCCGTAGAGAAGCTTCTCACCTTCGGCTCATCAGGAACGAAGAAGTTCCCGTTAACTTTGGCCACCAAACGGTTGTTTTTCTCTGATGTTTCAATACGACGATATTCGCGCACGTATTGTTCGGCACGTCGGAAAGCCAACTATACAGAGGAAAAAACGCATGATATCATTACATAATTAAAAAAGAGGTGTTTAGAGAACAAGCCGCTTTAGAAAACATATTTTGAAGGGATTTGTAAAATGGATGGAAAGAAAGAGTTCTTTCTATGTGTACTGGCGCATGGCGCACCAAGATGTCGAGCGTTATCAGAAACCGAACCTGTTGTCTGCTTATTTTACGCTGTGAAGTTATTTTCGTTGACACTAACCACACGACGTGCACGGGCAGCTTTCTTTTTGGCGGCAGCTGCTAGAAGCCTCTGTTGTCTCAGCTCGGCATTGTGCTTTCTCTGCTTGAGAAGAGTCTCCGGTACCATTGGCTTTTTGCCTTCAACAAATTTCTTTGTAGCGGTCGACATGCCACTGTGATTTCTGCAAATATCGTAAAGCGTATAATCAAACGATAGGTTTCCTTTCGATGCTATTTTATTGACTAAGGAAGAAAGGCAAGTGCGTTACGATTACATGAAGAAAAACACATGAATATGGGTGCTGCAATATTTCAACAACGCAATAATAAAAAGGTTCGTATGATTCGCTTTTGCTCCGGCGTGAGCTTAAATGCGTGAAATAAAAACTGATTTCAGGTTATTTTACGTGGCACATTTGTAGTGACGTTTGTCCAACGTCACCTCGAGTTCCTTTTTATTATCAGCCTCAGTGTGAAGAAATGTTTTGTTGCTCGAAATAAGACTACAGTTTTTTGTTGTATCTAGTTCAATATCGGATTCGCTGTATTCAAACAAGGTGAGTAACATACCAAAACATTTACACACAGCTGTCGCCGGTGAATTTCAACAGCGGAAACTTGTCTTGTGTTTATATAGAAGTACCTTGACATACATGAAAAATGTCACACAGCTTTTAAGTGAACCGTTATCATATCTAAGATTATCTAAACCGAAAAATTTTGTTGAAATTTACGCTATACTGATCGAATAAACAGCTAGTCTAATGCAAAATACCGGTCTACGGAAAAGTTTGCTTCATCGATGAGCAACTGTTAGACACGGTTCGTAATTGTTGACTAAACCGCTCGTTCACGATTATTTAAAAACGAAAAACTGGCTAAAATTTTGTATTAGAGCCTATTCAAACCGGCTTGCTGCTCACAACAGATAGACGAGCTTCTCATATAGTTTAACAAGTGATACACGAATGGTTTAATTATTCCATTCTTGGTCGAGAAGCACGCCAGACGAAATTACTTATGGTCTAAGGTCTATGCTTTCACAGCCTTCCCACAGTCTGGTCTGGGAGAATAATGCAACCACACTTCACTTCACCATCTAGTATAGCACTAAACATCACATATTTGCAAAATTTTACCAAAAAAGACAAAAATACAAATGCACCAACCTAGCCCCGACACGTGCACACAGGAAAAGACTTAACTACGCGTCTGCTGAGAAATCATCCATACGAAAGGGCGCCTCGTATAGCGCGGGGAATTCGAAAGTTCAATATTTGCTAGAGACAGATACGCGTAATATAATAGAAGGTTAATCTATGCAGTCATATAAATTTTTCTTTTCGTTTCCTATTTGCATAGAACGTGTCCAATAATAACTCTTAAATGAATGCTATTTAGAATAACGAAACAAGCGTCAAACAGCATACGGTTCTCTATAGCTGTCTATTTATCTTGGTTCAATCACTCTGTGTGGCTTGCACGAAACTTGTAGTTGATAAAAGCCTAACCAATACAATCTTTGGGGTATATTTTGTTCTCAGCTAAGCAAATATATGATGATTAAAACTATGTTTATGTGGTAATTATCGATCAATATTAATGAACAAGTATTCTATAGCACACTTAATACGTAATAGTATTTGGGCCACGCCATCTGTTGACTGATATAGCACAGTAAAGGTTTATAGAGAATTTTTTAAATGAGCCTTTATCTGACTTCGTTAAAACTAATTAAACATACGTACTACTGAATTACTCATGATATTTATTTAAGCACGAATTCGAGGAATAACTGATTTTTTTTATTTATATATCTCTAACTAGCCTAATAGCAATATGATGTTTTGCGAAGTTCATTATTCCTTTGAGCAAGAGAATAAGTGCCGCTTTGAACTACATTTTCTTAAGATTAACCTAATATATGAAGGGCAATATCTCCATATGGTCTTCCTATATAGATAATATTGGATTATATACAGCGTCCTTTAAATTGCATTTGGATATTAACTCAAACTTAATATTTGTTGAAGTACGACTTTCACTCTTTAGCTATTATAATTAATATGCTTTCCTTTGGATACAAATTTCTATTTAAAAACAAAATGTGGATTGAAGCTTCTGCTAAGCTCGTGTTTAAGTTGTCCTTAGCTTAAGTATTTGCTGGATTTTTATATATACTGCTTGTACACCTCCGTCTATCAAAAAATGCCACAATGTGGTTACAACCTACTTCGCGCCTAAATTTAGAGCTATCGAATAAGTTTCTATGAGAACCTGTGATACCGCAACTTCTATGCCAGCCGGCGCGTTCTTGTTGGCTCTCTTCGACAACATATGTGTTGTAACAACGTGCGTTGGCGTGAAAATTTTCATATTAACGTGATTTGTGTATTCGGTTTGATAGTTCAGCGCTTAACGGTGAGCAGCCAGTGATGGTAACCAAGAGTGCGAAGATCAAAACTCGTCCAGATCCCGCTATGGATGAAATTAGCGATGATGAGCCGGACTTCTCCGACCCCGAAGGTTTCATTGATGACATTAACGACGAGGATTTGCTTGAGGTGGGAATCCAACAGTCGTACGCGTAGAACGTGTTTAAACCACCGTAGTGGAATACATTACAGGTTGCACCCACAGCAAGCGAGTTCGAAATTGGTTGTGTTTTAAACTCTGCGAATCGAAAAAGCTTTCTTGTGATCAAGAAGGACTGAACGCTCGGATCGGCCGAGCGGCTCTCGTAGTTTGTGCTTGAGCATTGGCAGAATCTACGCTGTACAAGGGCAAAACGGTTGTCAGCGACTGGTAGACAACAAGCGACGTGAACCAGCAGATAAGAAGTATTATTGGAAAAGCCTTTCATGAAACACTATAACTTGTTCAATTCGAACCTCTGCAAATTCTAGTCTTCAAGCGTCAAGATTAGCAGTACGCGAAGTGATAAAGATGTTCAAACTGATGATAACAGATTGTTTTTTTTTTTATTTTAAAACGCGTGTCGTTCACTCTTCCTATATTTTAGTGTACGCGCTGCTTTTCCATGAATTCCTGACAAACTATATTCACAATAAACAATCATTTCTATGCACATACATAAAGGGTTCATTTTAAAGAATAGCTGGTGTTAGTGATATGGTATCTATCACTGATAGTCGCTATGAAATTTAAATGCCCATTTGTTCATTCAAAACTTCCCATGAATGATCTGCATATATTTTTCTGCCACTGAAGTCGAAATTAAACTTCTCTATGTACGTTATAGTTGCAAGCTGAACTATTTGTTGCGCACGTTGCGGGGCTAAATCAGTTTCTATAACGTCGTTGATATTTATTATTTTTATTCAATTATATTTCGTATGGTTTTATGTATTTTTGCCACTTGCTTTACTTGATTTCTCTTGGTTAGTAAAAATATGTGTTTAATTTGGATAGGTTCGGGCAGTTAAGAACATGATTATTTAATTCGTTTTGTTTAAAACTTCACATGGGATGCACACTTCGATGCATAATATTGTATCAGATTCGGCCATATAATTATCTAAACTACATTATAAATTTTCTCCACGGGGCCCGCATTCAAATTAAATTTGATAAGCAGCCCTGTGAATCATAACCATTTTCGGGAGCAAAGGTATTACGCATTATTCAACCCTTAATATTCGATCGTCAAGCAGATGGAAAAATTTTTTCGAAGCTAGCGACAATAAATCCTAATTAAAGTTAGTGCATCAAAGGTAGTATTCTCGACTTAGTACTATTGTCGAGAGAAACATACCTTTCCGTAGTGGGTTGTCGATGCCGCAATAATTGCTGTTGTATATCTTCTTAAAAACTAAAGTAAAATAAGAAACTAATCAACACCGCTATTTAATCGGCCAGATTCACAATTATTGCGAAAATCATTAATCAGTTTCTTATTTCTCGTTTAAAAAAAAACAAGGTTTTTTTCTTTAGAGTAATCATTGGCGAAATTTTCACCTGTCTTAATAATGAGACTCCCTAGGGAGATGTTTTCTGTCAAGAAATCTGTATTGCAGTTGTACCTTATCGATTTTAACAAACCTTCTAACCTTACCCTATAAGGACTTATACCGCGAGCGACCAGCAGAAGCTGACGGTCTTGAATCCGTAATCGTGGTGGACAACATACCGATTGTGACTCCTGAACGTCTCGATAAGCTCAAGAGTGTTCTCCATAAAACGTTCTCTCCGTTCGGCGAGACAAGTTCGTGGGAGTTTCCCATTGACGAGGAAACTGGAAAAACAAAAGGTTTCGTGTTCATCGAATACCGGGACGCCACTGGAGCTCAGGAAGCTGTACAGCGCATGAATGGGTATGTATCGTGCACAATCTCTAATGTAGTCTCTCTTTTCTTTTGTTGAGCTTTTTTGCTCTCAAAAGTCCTGCGACTAATCGCTGGAGTCAGCAGATTACGATGTATTCAGCAATACTATTATAACCATTGATATAATGTATGCTCAGTTTATCTAATCTATGGCTAACCATTTATTCTCTTTTATATTCATTCTTTGCTTTTCAGATACAAACTAGATAAGAATCATACGTTTATCGTCTGCCCGTTCACCGACTTTCAGAAGTACGAGGCCCTCTCAGAAGACTGGCGCCCTCCGCAGCCACAGCCATATCCATATGGTCAATACGGCAATTTAGGTCTGTACCTTCAGGAACCTGACTGTCGAGATCAATTTGTCGTCACCTCGGAAAATGGCCGCAAGGTGGGAGGACTTTTAAGGCTTATTTAATACAACAGTCTCGCATTCAGCTGTGTTTTATCACCTGGGAGAATACAAAGACTGTTTTTATGGAATGTTTTTTTTTGTACTGTGCGACTGACTCTCTCAGCGCATACTAGACATCGTTAAGTTAAGATCGTTTTATAAGCGTAAAATTCACCGCTTTCAAAAGGCTTTTCTTAGTACTGCCGGAGAGCGAGTGAGCTCCCTTTTGCCGATGTACGCAAATTACTGATGAGGGTATTTTAAATTGTACAATCGTTTTATATATTAAGCTGATCGAGATCTGTTTTCCTAAATAGGTTGTATGGGTTTCAGAAAATAAAGATGTGTGAATTGATAAGGACGAATTCTATTTATCAGTAACTTAGTAATGATTCTGTTTGTTTTATTTCAGGTATCCATGTATCTGCATGGATTCCAGGTAAATCATCTGTCTGAATCGTTAGGATGAGTTTTCGTTCGGTTACTGTATTTGTATAAATCAAGTCAAGTTATAATTACCCCATAACCTTTGTCTGTTAACAAATATAATTGTTTTCATACACGCCTTGATTTAATTTAATAAAATTGACCTTGCAGGAGGATTCCTTACTTTTTGAGCGTGATAACTTCACCGATTTGGGTGTTATATGGTCGCCCAAAGGCACCTACCTTGCCTCATTCCACGAACAGGGCATCCAGTTGTGGGGAGGAGAAAAGTTTGAAAAGATTCATAAATTTAAACATTATAAGGTAAATTGAATGGCCGATACGGTTTAGATATCCCTCTATTCTATATCCAATGTATCTAAATATGATGCAAAGATCATGTGATTTTACGCGCTTTTGTACTGAAATCAAAAGTGTTTGCAAAGTTACGCAGCCCTACGAGAGATAAACCAACTTGACGGTTTCCATTATATTTTTTCTTTCTTTTTTCTGTAAGTGCATATTTTTATAGGGCTATGTATCTCCAAACAAAAGTAATTAGTTATAAGTAAAAACTATTAAACAGAAGGCTACCATATTTAGTTTCCCGTAGAGCTGCGTGAGTCTTTTCATATGCTTAATGTGTTCAACAAATACAGTATACAAATCGTGATGTTATTAAAATCTTTCACTCGCTTGTCATAAGCCACAAGCAAAAACGGCAAAACCCAAGTCCACATACCTTTGTGTACATTTACCTAACTTACAGACAGATTAGCCATATATATTACAAAATAGGTAATGCTAAGGTAACTTTAGACCGGTTAAAGTCGATTTGGCCGTTTGTATTGGTTCTTTAACGCAGGTGCGGTTAATCGATTTTTCACCATGCGAGCGTTATCTGGTGACGTTCAATGATGGTGTTGGAGGCCCAACAGGAAAAGGCTCTTCCGATTTGCACGAAGATGACCGGAAGCCCAGCGTTGTTGTGTGGGATATTTTAACAATGCAGAAGAAGAGAACATTCCAGCCTTCAGAAGAGATCACATGGCCCATGTTTAAGTGGAGCCATGACGACAAATACTTTGCCCGCCAAACCGAGGACAATATTCAGATCTACGAAACGCCTAGCTGTGGACTTCTGGACAAAAAATCACACAAGGTAACTAATGATGTTTCAGGGAGCGAAACAATCCATATCTGCATTTTATTTGTACATTCCGACTTTCGGGAACGTTTTAATGAATATTGTTCTCGTCATGGAGATTTATTTCTAATTAAACTAAATTCCTTTTCTTTGTTTTCAAGGTAACCGGTGTGAAGTCGTTCAGCTGGTGCCCGACTTTAAACATCATGGCCTATTGGGTAGCTGAAGACCGAGACGTACCAGCTAGGGTAAATCTTTTGGAGATTCCTTCTCGGCAAGAGCTTCGATCGAAAAACCTGTTCAACGTAGCCGACTGTAAAATGTGTTGGCAGAAGAATGGCGACTACCTAGCTGTCAAAGTTGACCGTTTCCAGAAGTCTAAAAAAGAAGGCAACGTTATCAAATATTCCGGGATGTATTTCAATTTCGAGGTAACTTATTTGTTGAACTAGATACTGGCATCTTAGTAAGTAGAAATATGTGAAATAATTACAACCATTGTGAAACATTTGAATAAACCAATAAACCTATTGCTTATTAGTAATTGAGGAAGTAACAGTTACTATGATGATGAAATTATTTACGGGCATTGTAGTAACTTTAAACGTTCTGAAATATGGATGCATTTGAATATTTTTGTTTTTCCTACTGCTTAGCCCGAGTCTTTTTTGTATACATCGGTTTCACCTTGCCACAGGTGTTTATGATTCGAGAGAAAAATATTCCCGTAGATTCGGTCGAGTTGAAGGATTCCTGCGTGAATCAGTTGGCTTGGGAACCCAATGGTTCAAAGTTCGCTGTCGTCCACGGAGAAGGCCAGCATTCGGCTGTGTCATTTTATCAAGTTAGTTTTCTTTGCCTAATTGTTTTCTCGTGCGAGCGGTCATTGACAGGCACTTTTCAAAATATTATTCGAGATTTATATAGCATGTTCTTTTCTCTCATGACTGTAGTGTACGGGTAAAATCAATTATTTTTAGGCTATCAAAAAGACAATCGTTGACAGCATGTGTACTTGTACCCATGAAAATAGATTAATCATGATGATCCGTGTTTCGGCTTAAGGTCAAGTCTGCTTCAGTGACGCTGTTAAAGCGTATGGAAAAAAAGTTGTGCAACAGACTTCTTTGGTCACCTAGTGGTCAGTTCATTGTGCTTGCTGGTCTGAAGACACTTAATGGCACACTCGAGTTTGTGGACACAGCGAACGATTTCACCATACTGACGACTGCTGAACATTTTCGTTGCACGGACGTTGAGTGGGATCCTACTGGACGATATGTAGTTACCTCGGTCTCAGCTTGGGCTGGGGACCGCTCGGATAATGCCTATTGGATTTGGAGTTTCCAGGTAAGCATTAAACCTACTGTAAATCGCAATTTTCGTACTTAACTGCGGCTGATATTTGGACGAAATTCTACAAAGAGAAAGCAAATTGTGTCAATTGATAAAATATTAGTATCCTGATAAGGAAAATATATAAATATTTCATATAGTGGAATACTACTACACAATAATAGTTTGTTCCTGTATTTTACTTGACAGTCATCTAAAGTTATCTAGTAGAACAGTTTACTTTTTGCACAAATTATTTCGTAGCCCCAGAGGGCGATCCATGTAAAGCTGAAGCTAGATGTGCTTGCCAAGATGATGCTTTTAATTACGGTAAATTATGAACATTAATTTTATTTAATAAAAAAAGTTTGGTTGAAAAGTTTTTGTAAAGGTCTTTTTTTTGTATAATTATGCACCCAGCAGCTTAAGTTTCTTTATTCCTATTCAAGAGCTAAATTTCAAACTCAGTATTCAGGAAAATCTTTGACTCCGGATGTATTGATACGCTTTTTAGGGTAAGACTCTACGTAAAACGGCTCCGACAGGCTTTTGTGCATTCCAATGGAGACCCAGACCTCGCACCTTGCTAACTGAGGATCATATTAAGGAAATCAAGAAGAATTTCAAAAAATATTCGCAACAGTTTGAAGTTAAGGATCGCGCATCACTTACCAAGGTATCCAAGGACATTATGGAGAAACGCCAAAAATTAATGGAGCGACATCGTAGCTGGCAGGCCGATAAGAATAATAAACTCGCCATTCTGAGGCCTCTTCGCCTCGAGCTTCGCGGTGGCGTTGACACGGACGCCCTAGATACTACCGAAGATCCTGATGATCTTGAGGAGGAAACTCTTTTTGTACTTGTCAAGGAAGAGAGCATCGCACTCCCCGCGTAGATCTTGAAGCTACAGCCGTATTATACAAACACTGGCTGAAAGACCGCTTCACCGCTTGAACCATCTGTGAAAAAAGGGACTTCTGGCCGATGACACATGATGTCGAAAAGTAGCAAACCATGGACAAAAGTGGAACAAAGCACTTACGAAAATAAACTAATAAATTCTTATTATTCATACAAGTAAAATTCTATTGTCATTGTCCAGTTGTGCTAACAATTAATAAGAAGTGTCGCTCACCTTAACTGATTTGATCCTGGTTATACCTATACAGAAATTGCTGTAAACAGACCTCGCTTTTTGATGTAATTAACCTCCTCCCTCTATCCCCTCCTAAAAAGGTGTTTGAATCTCAGGTAAAGGAAAGTCTCTAAGACATGAGAGTTATACACGATTGGAAACCAAGGAGAGTATGTAAAAGCGCTTCATCCGTTACTGCAAATCAATTGTATATATTCTTTTGATGGTTCTAATTGCGTTTTATCTGGCGGCAACTTTTGGCAAAACATAATAAATGGCCAGCGTCTAAATCCTGTTTTTTTACCTATAAACTCCTACTCAATATACAGTAGGTGTAACATTCTCTCGAGTAAAAATTTTTTTGGCTACCTACCAGCAAAAAAAGAAAAAAAAAGACCGGATTTTGATTTTGTACAGTACTTTTGCTATTGTAGGTACCCAGGTCGTCCCACGTAAGAACTGCTTGTGGGAAATAGAAGTATTTCACACTATGCACAACAGGCTGCTGGTTTATGGAAAAAATTAGTAAAAAATAGGTTAGTAAAATTATAAGAAACAGAATTATATGCTACTGCAAATATCCCAATCGATTTTCATGTGTACATATATGTTGCCTTACATCTTTAAGGGGTCAATGTCCAACAGTTTCACTGCCACGTTGAATTTTATTACGTCAAAGTCAATTTTTGTCTCACGATTATTATACTAAGCCCATACCATCAGCGGAGTTGCTAAGTTTGGATACATACATGATACACTTGAAAGATATTCAACCTGCCAACCAGATCAATCGATCTGTCCGAGATATGACAAGATTCGTTCTACTTCTGTTTTTTCTAATTTCTCCTTTAAGGGCTAGCATCTTTGCCTATCTCTACTATTTGCTTTTGCTAACAAAAGGTTTGCGCGAATTCCTCGTAAGATGGACAAACGTAGCTTACTTCATAATAGTCAACTTCAATAATCAAACAAGCGAACTGCTGATGTGAATGTAAAGCTTAGAGAAACTTCAATAATCGACAGATTTCAGTTTTAACGAAAATGACTAATGGTTTCTTCTGTTTCTGTGCATTTAAAACTTTTCTATTATACGCCTAATACCTTGACTCGTTGCTTCGAACTTCGGAAAAAAATACCCACCTCGAGAAATCGCCTCCATTCTATAGCAATCTTTAGCAAATTCATAGTAGTTTCTCCTTTACTACTGTACCACTTGCATGGTACAGACAATACAATGCATATATCAAATTAACATAGCAATATGAAATTAAATATTAATTGTCTTCTACATGAAAAATAGGTAAGCTCAGACCAAAAATCAACTTTAAGATCCTTTGTTTACTGGACTGTTTCTTGTCTTTTAGCAATTGTAGCATTGACAGCAAGTAGCCTATTGTAGTCAATTGTTGTGCTACTTATACAATGGTCAATCAAAAACTTCGATCAGAAAAAATCGATTTTTGCCATAACAATAGCCCCCTATAAATTGAACCCATTTTAACTACATGAATAGCACAAGTTCACTCAATAACACTACTTAAAGTTCATATTTTATAAAACGGTACCACCTTTATACATCTTTCATAAAGATTTAGTTGGTTTTCGTCGTCGGTATAAGTATATACGTATTTGTAAATCGTTGGGAACTACCTGTCAAAGTTAGATTTAAAATAAAAATTTAGTTCGATCTGACTATTTTAGAAGTTTCGTCAAATATTGGACATTTACAGCATCATAGCTTAATCTGCACGCAAACTACCTATTTTTGTCCATATAAAACTCATGGGGGCAAACCGATGTATACAGAAGAGCAAATAATGAGTCTTTATTTAGGAAAAAGTTTTCTAGTAAGGAGAAAGTGTTTAAGAAATTTGAACTACTTAAACCCTAAAAGTATTTGATTTCCGACTTGAAGGCTTATATCTTTCAAAGAGCGGACTCATGGTTTCATGCTCAACCCAAGATGTTGCCTACCTTTTCTTTATTCTCTATGTGGTGTAAAACAAGCATCAACTTACATATTGTGTACTTTTCGAAAACAGTAAAGCCTTTGTGATTTTCCTTGCCATTGTAATAATCTTTATTTAATGTCTTTGCTAAGTTTATTTACTGAATTAGTTACAGTAATAGCTTGTGCCTATTGGATGGAGTTCTTTGTCCAAGTGCTTTTTTCGCGGTATTTCTGGCTCTCGAAGTTGATTTTGTTTGAACCGCTGTAATTCCGCAAGTCAGAGATAAAACCCAGTCGCGTACTTTCTTACTGTTTCATCATACAGTTTCAGTCAAGAAAGTATTTTCGATGTTTTTTGAAAACGGTTGCATAATCTCCAATTAATAACTTATTCTTTTTACACCGAAGCTCATGTAAGCAAGAACTCTTTGTCACGAATCATTGTTAATTACTAAGGTATTCACACACACTAACTAGCTTAATAAATACTGTTTTATACTTCAGTCAGTAACATTCACTGCCTAAACAATTTATGTAATCCTAAACTTCTATATATATATAAAACAACTTATGTGGTAAATTATGTAAACGTTCCTATATTTTTTCCCGAATACCTTTAATAGTTTTAACTGGATACCTTTAGTTAAATTGGCCGACCAATTTAAACAAAAAGGTTATGTGAACTAAAAGCACAATTCTTAGGATCTCGTACTCTTATTTCTTTCTGAATTACATTACCATATCTAATTTTTAATATGCATTTGATAAAATTCATATAATATATCGAGGCCACACCTTGCATATCTTGAGTAAAGTGTAGTTTAAAAAATCTTTCGTTATAGTTATCGTAATACAAGGAGGTTATACACAAAAGGTTCGAAGCCAAAAGCGGTCCCGAATGTACATTAAAATAGTACAAAACATTATTTTTGGTTTTCAAACTCGAATTAGCAAAGTCCTACTAATCAACGGCGTACTCTTATTACAACTGATATGTTTTAAAGCTTAAATTAGCCAACTCCTATTAAGGAGCGGCGTACTCTAATAAGAACTGATGTGACATTTGACAGTCATCGAGACACGAAACTCAACTATTGAATTGAGCGGCGATCAAGGAAGACTGTTTAACAACGCTAGCCTGTAAATTTTAACTAAGTGCTATTTGATTAGCCAATAAAAAGTTACTTTTCTGTCATATCTCATATAGCCATATACTGATTCAAATTTATTTCGTGGCGTATATATAGCTGTTCGGAACGCTAAAAGCTTTCGATAGGCAAAATGAGGCATTCCCCACGAAGAAGCAGCCCACAGAGCATAGCTAATGCGCCGGCGCGCGCACGCCACAGGGAACCGGTCCTCTCTGTTATACACTCGATGGCGACTCGGTCACAAATGACGGCCGACAGCCGATGAGCAACAACGCGCCCCCAATGCCCGCCCATGAGTACAGCCGCGGGCGCCTGTTCGATGTCTGCTCGCTTCTGTGACCATATAAGGGATGCCGGCTGGGTGTCGAATCGACTCTCCGAAATCTTTCCGCTGGAAAGGAGATCCCCTCCAGACTTAGCGGGCTCCTGCGAGCTGAATAAAGACGCAACGCTATTTGAAAAGTTGTTCTTAAACTTAGTTTCCTTAGGCACTTTAGTAAAATCGATGTTTGCCAGAATGAAACGTTTGTTTGAAAAGTAAGTGGGCTCTCAACGGGGGCCGTATTGTAATCTGCTTACTGTGAATGACACTTGTTCATTGTCAATCCAGGCTTACATATTGTCATCGATACACCGGACGAAATAAACTTATATTTGGGTAGTCGTGATAGCCTGGGTGGGTAAGGCGTTGCGGGTAATTGGATCTGTCATGGTGGTCTTGGCGGACCGGTCGGTAGGCGCCATCTTATATCTGACGGATTGTTTAAATGTGGCGCCATGCGTGGAAAGCCACTTATATTTTTTGTCCCAAAGACATTTGCTACATTATCCGTCATTTTCACAGGTAAACGTTCCCTATAAACTAAACGTACTATTGTCTTGCGCAGGGCTCGCAATGCGAATAGTTGGTTCCATTGCCGCACGGCCGATGGTGCGTTGATGGACGATGTCATATTGAGCCAAATGTTATCACGCGTGTCCCCGATCGTGTGCTGGGAACGAGCATGAACATGTTTTTTGCAGTCGTAAGTGTTCTGCACCGATTCGACTAAGCTAGATACGCATGTCGATTTTTCACAGTGTCCTGGCTACTTGCACGAGACACGGTCGAAGTAGTTCTATGGTCGTTCCACGACAAACCTCATGCAATCCGTCACTGTGCCGCTGGTGTATCGGCAGCGCCATAACCATCACAACGCAGTTACTGACCATAGCGGGCGAGTTGTGGCCGCGTTAGCGGGTTTCAGCGGCGATCGTGGCGCCCTCATCGCGGCGGTTACGGCGGAGGGGTTTCGTTGTGCTGTGCATCAGCAGATTCAGGAGCTTTGCTTTGGGTAGCCCCAGTTGAGTGTCTAGCCGCCAGCTTCAAGGGAACGACAGGCAAGCGGCAACGGTGTGGCTATCGACGCGAACACTGTGGAGCTAAAAGAACGGTGAGCGAGCGAATGCAGCTAAACAAGGCTGTTGTACTACTACTTGTCGTGTGTTGAAAGGAAGGCTTAACGGAATAATAGCAGCGGCGACAGGGTTCGACGACGAGTCGGCGGCGACTCGCTGTTCAACTTCGCCACTAGTGGCCCTCGGTTTGTCGGCTTTCTTCTTCATTGTACGTAACGTAACATAGAGTAGATTTTGTTCGTTGATTAGCAAGTCGAGTTTGGTGAGTGCGGATTCGCTGGTACGATCGCAGCAGCGCTGCCGTTGCCGTCAGTGGTCTGATCGACAATCAGAGCTTTCTTGTAAGCACAGCCGCGGGTAGAGAGTGGAAGACGAGTCTCGGAGTGTTTGCCCGACACCCCTTCGTCCATATCGTCAAGAGTTGCTTATCGGTCGGGAATTGTCGGTATTAAATCGACCCGGCCGCTTGGCCACTCAATGTGAGAATCAAAATTTCGGCCGGAAATGCCGTCGCTAAATTAAAGTGCAAGTGAAGTCGTAATTAAGTGACACCAAGTGCTATGATTCTGTGGAGTGTGCTAACCGAGATTTAATAGCACAGTTGTGGTTTGCCCAGCCGGCTTTTTGGGGGGTGTGCCTACCCTTGTTGGCAATAAGGAGCGAAAGGCGGTACAGTGGGCATACGGGGGGGGGGGGGGGGTATTTTGAAGCGGGAGCCGTTGATACATCTCTTCTGTTATTTTGCTGCCGGGTATCATCGTGTGGTGCTATGTGTGCATGATTTCCAGACCGGTAACGGCCAAACAGAACCAGTCAGTGTACAGACACGCATTAGCCTAACCTGATAGCAGTCGTTAATAGCGACGATCATGGTGACGGCGTGTATCGAGCCATCATAGATAGATAGGTGCTAAAAAAAAAAAACTGACCAACAGCTCGCTCGCAACAACGATGATTTAAAGCAGAAATATAGCCATCCCAAAGTGGAGCCGGGCGACGGCTTGTACACACAGACAAGCACATCCTCGAGTCGGCCGGGCGGTGTACGTTAGGATTGTGGCGAGTAGTGTGCGATGCGTGCTGCTGGTAGTGTGACCACAGGATACTATGCTGTCGCTAGCATACGATATATGTATATGCACGCTACCGGCGGCATGCAGCAACGTGTCGGAAGGACGCCGTCACCACCCCCGTGGCTGGTCATGCAGCCATAACTGCATGCACAGGACACGAGTTGTTATTGCAACTGCTGTTTTTAGCATGTTACGTTTGTTACAAGTATCTGATACTGCTGGTGCTGGCAGGAGGTTTTCAATCGCCTTCAAACGGCATCGGTTATAGCAATGATTCGTCGAAAGGCAGATGGCGCGGGTAACGACGACCGTGACGATAACTGCGAAGACGATGACTGATTGGGTGGGTGATCACTGCCGATTCACCGTCAGTTCATAAGCTACGATTCGATGGACGGCTAACCAACCAGCGAATCTATAACAAGCAACGCGTTACAATGTATGCATACTCACGTCTGGCTAGCATAGCCTGTAGTGTAATTGCTAGTGCACTCCTTCCTTCAGCCGTCTGTAATAGATGGAACCAGCAGTCTGCGGTCGGCATTAGTTTCTGTCTACGGGGACGCAGACCGTCGGAAGACTTTTTGACGAATGCCAACTATTTTTATCATCATTAATGCCATTAGTGCTGTGCCGGCACAACTAACTCGAACCCCTTTACGCGGGCTTCGTTTAGTCATTGGTGGCTCTCAGCGTGCCCACACTTAGACGTGTACCTATGCGAAACATCTCCATGCCCTACTAAACATTAAGAACGCATGATACAACAGTTGTTTGTTGTTCCGTTGCTATCTTTCGCTGTAGTCAGCGGAAGCATAAACAGCACAGCATTATTATTTCCATTATTGTTACGAAGTGCAAAAAGCTTATTATGATCAAGAATTGTACCCCGTGCAGACTTCTAAACGACGTTTTCAATTGGAGAATCACGAGCTACTCGACGGCGCTTATTGTGGAGCTGACGACGCTCTTCTAAAACAACTGGGGACGGCCTGACCGCGAGTTACACAGCCATTCTGCCCTATAGCCGATCGCTCGTCAGTCAGCTAGTGCTCCTTGTGCATCTTCCCTTACTCCATCCATCCATCCATCCTTTTTATGGTCCGTAAGGACACGATAATAATCGTTGCTGTATAGAAACAAACAGCGGCAGCAGTAGCAGGCAACAGCGTTGCCAACAACCACGGCGATGACGACAACAGCGTCTTTGTGATTATGGTGAAAAGTTGTCGTTGTTTCCTTAAGATCTCGAGTTCTTTTTTTAGTGCTTTCTGGCCACTTTTTTGAGCCAGATTTTCTCTTTTTGCACACGCTGCTTCATCATAATGCCAATGCAAAGTCGGAATGACTCGATTCGCCGGTAACGGTTCTCACTGCTGCGACTATAGTAGCAACTCTTCCACAACTGGTATTAGCTGTCGATTGCGTTATTGTTGTTGTTATTATTAGTAAATAATCATATTACTGCTATTATTATAGTACTAGATACCCTCTTCCCCTTTTCCTCGCTATGGCTTCCAGCGGTGACTGGTAATTTATAAGAGCACGGCGTTGTCATGTGTGGATATATATATACGCTCTACCATACTATGGTCGCTCCTACAGTCCAGCGTCCAGGTCGCCATGATTGCCATCTTTTCACACAGAGTGCGTAGCTATGGTCACGTTATGCTGAATGTGATTTAGGCTTGCACTTCAAAGCAGTTAGGTGATCTTTGCTTTATTTCATCATAACCGTGACGCAGCTAACAAGAAGGAAGGCATAATGATGATGTTAATGTCTGTGACTGCTCTCTGTCATGTGTCTGGACGTAAAGGTTGTTCAGAACTTGCGGCAACTCTATCTGTCCTCTTATCGATTATAACGCCGTTCACGAGAAGTACGATAAGATACACGAATTTTTGTCGTCCCTTTTTGTCTTTTGTGGAGTTGAAACAACTCATAATAAACACGACAAATCAGCTAAGCACCACAACTAATTAAATAGGTAGGTAGAATAAAAAAAATAAAATGATAAATTTTCTTTTATTAACAAGGTAACAGTACAAAGTCGTTCCGATACTGACATAGGAACCATATAATAGTAGTCATTTCGGTAATTGGTAGCAGAGTTCCAGTTGAACCTCGTGAAACATTTTGTGGCTGTTTTATGCTCATTTGTTAAAACGAACACTCTAACTGGCATTTCAAATTCATCGCGACTCTTAAAAATGTTTTGAATTATTGCCGTGCAGTTGACCTCACTTCACTGTCTCAGAAAAAAAATGTTGTCATGACGCAAACAAAGAGTACTCCCGCTAGGTCTGTTCGAACCATCATCGTTGAATTTTTTGAAAAATTGCAATTTTAGTTTGTGCGTCCACAGTGATTACTAAAATCCATACTAAAAACGTCGAGAATGATAATGGTTGATCTCGCTATTCCCCTTTGTTTGTCACTAGCAAATGAGTAAGGGCGCTGGGATTATCTACTGTACTAAATATTTTGTCTCTGAGCGCGTCTCTCTGTTGGGCGTTGTGTGTGAAAACGACTCTCCTGGGGTTAATTTAGCGACTGGCCCTGGGTTGAGATCTTCGGCTAATTCAGAAATGTCTGCCAGTGATGACGCTTTATCATCTACCTGTGTCGTCTTAACTACAATTAGTATATTCCTTGACTATAATTGCACTCGTGTACAGTGACCATTAGACAAGGATTTGTCGCTACTGTTACCGGTTTAGAACCATCGTTCTGCGATTGTTGTATTGATTTGGGTGTCACCATGGGTTCGGCTCGACTGCCGCATGCAGATATTGTGTTGTTTATGGTGATAGAAATGAAGACGACGATAATGATGCCATCGTGGCTTGTCGCGACTGAAGTGATGACTAAGGGGAGCAGCAAGCAGCGGTTATTGGTAGGCAGCATCAGCACCGATCACCGCCGCCGCCGCCGCCACAGGCCGCCGTTCTATCGTTCAGCCCTGCCAACCCTCGTACTATAACAACTACTACTAGTGATGCTACGAGCACTCGCTCGCAAGCAACGGCGACTCGCCGCAAGCTAGGAAGCCGCAGCCGCCGCTGCAGCTACCAGCCGTCTCTACATCAGCAGCGCGAACAGACATCACCGACAGTGATTCTATGGCTTGTCCCACTGTGACGGCGACCGCTGCCGCCGCGGTGAGCAGTGGGTGCCGCGGCTACCATTGAGGGACTGTTGTTGTTGGTGTCGTCGATTTAGTTGTCGTTGATTCTCATCGTCCCTTCTGGACTAGTGGCCGGGCTGCTCGAGCGAGCTCTCGACAGTTGCAGTGCCGCGGCTGCTGCTGCTGTTGATCGCGATAGCTAATGGTAGTGGTGGGCAAGTCAACGGGAGTCGAGCTAGAGAGAGCCAAAGATATCGGAACGTTTCAGCTATTTTTGCATTATTGTCATGCACAGTTATTCTTCACGCTGTTGATGGTTTTGCTGCCGCTACTATTTTACACTTGCATGCGCTGAACGAATTTATTCTGATCGCGGAGTAATTATGTTTATTACCTTTTTTTGGGAAGTTTTTCAATTGATTGTACTTACGGGCAAGGAAAAGACAAGAGGTCAAAATGTCTGGATCGCTGCACGCAGACGTCCGATAATGAGTTTCTTTGTAGCTTTGCAGGCGTAACTTTGGTGCGTCAGCTTGTTGAAAGAAGGACTTTGTTTCGCTGACTGAATTTAACCGAATAATAATGGACAAAATTCATATAACTACTAGTGGGCAAGAAACAATGTTGTTTCCAATTACAAATATGCCAATAAGTAGGCAATGAAATGGCACAATATGCAACACTAATTATCATGAAATTTCGGCAGATTACGTAAAGCTATAACACAATTGGTTTCCATATATACCAGCGGCAACAATTTCGAAAAGCTTAGCAGTTTGTAGTGGGGTATACCAGATTCGTTGAAACTAACTGACTGATTCCGATAAGTCTTGA